AGGGGGGCCACTTCCAGCTTTCATACCCCCCCCCCCCCCATCACAGCTTTGGAGCAGAGAACCGAGTGGCTGGGGTCTGGAGCCACGCTTGCCATGAAACACGGCATTCACTCCTTGTTTGTGGGAGAGGAGGCCGGCCGGCCGGCTGAGCACCCTCCTTCCACAGGCGCAAAGGCAAGAAGTTAGATTTTGTCACTTTGGCTGTGAGCCAAAATGGCAACAAGAAGAAGAAATGATTGGAAGCATTTTGAATAGCTCATAAACCATACAAAATGCTTTCCACGATGCAAAACAAATGTGTGCTTGCCCAAGTGTGACTGAGACACCCACTCTGCCTGGAATCACAGAATCATGGCGTTGGAAGGGACCTCCAGGGTCATCTAGTCCAGCCCCCTGCACAATGCAGGGAATTCACAAATGCCTCCCCCTCTACACCCCCAGTGATCCCTGCTCCAGGCCCAGAAGATGACGAAAAAAACCCTCCAGGATCCCTGTCCAAACTGGCCTGGAGAAAAATTGCTTCCTGAGCCCCAAAGGAATGATCAGCATTTCCTTGGGCGTGTAAGAAAGGCCCACATGAACTAAGCACTGAGGCAGCCCTCCTTGCCCTCCCTTCTCATGAACTGCCTAAATTCACAGAATCAGCACTGCTGACAGATGGGGCCATCCAGCCTCTGTTTGAAAACCTCCAAAGAAGGAGAGCCCACCACCTCCCGAGGAAGCCTGTTCCACTGAGGAACTGCTCTCACTGCCAGGATGTTCTTCCTAATGTTTAGCTGAAAACTCTTCTGATTTAATTTCAACCCATTGGTTCTGGTCCGACCTTCCGGGGCAACAGAAAACAACTCTGCACCATCCGCTAGATGACAGCCCTTGAAGTACTTGAAGATGGTGATCATATCACCTCTCAGTCGTCTCCCCTCCAGGCTAAACATACCCAACTCCTTCAACCTTTCCTCGCAGGACTTGGTCTCTGGACCCCTCACCATCTTCATTACCCTCCTCTGGACACGTTCCAGCTTCTCTATATCCTTCTTAAATTGTGGTGCTCAAAACTGAACACAATACTCTAGGCGAGGTCTAACCAGACCAGAATAAAGCAATACCATCACTTCATGTGATCTGGACATTACACTTCTCTTGATACAGCCCAAAATAGCATTTGCCTTTTTAGCTATGGCATCACATCGCTGACTCCTGTTCAGTGTATGGTCTACTAAGACCCCAAGATCCTTTTTGCACATACTACTGCCAAGACAAGTCTCCCCCATCCTATAGTTATGCCTTTGATTTTTCCTACCTAAATGCAGAACGTTACATTTATCCCCACTGAAGTTCATTTTCCCATTTTCCAGCCTGCCGCTTAGGGGCAGAGCATCTGTTGTTCATGCAGAAGGTCTCAGGTTCAACCTCCCATCCAAGTTAAGTAGCTGGGGTTGGGAAACAGGTTTCTCTTGTGCTCCTCTCCTCTTCCATGTGGCTCGATAAAATTTTCAGCTTTCATGGCACTCTGTAGTTTGTTCTTACATCCAAACCAAAAACCAAGATTTGAAGGGAGTGGACATCAAGCCACAGTTTTTGTATCTGACCCAGCAGCCATCTGTGATTGGGAAGCCGGACCAGGATCTCAGAGACCCGGGCTCAAATCCCCACCCTGCCACGAAGCTTGCTGGGTGACCACTGGGCCAGTCACATTCTCTCAGCCTGGCCCACCACACAGGGTTGTTGTGAGGACAAAATTAAAGAGGGGCGGATGCTGGAGCTCAGATGAAGGAGTAGGATAAACACGCACTAAATAGAATAAGACGTCTTGATTGAGGTTGTGGCTTGGGATGGGAAGAGGGAGGGGAGACACGAGACAAGATGTCCCCAAGGGTGGGTCACCCAGAGACTCAACTGCCTCGGTGGCTGTCATGTCTGGACCCCGCCCAGGTATTTGTCACTTGAAGTGGGGCACATTCTTCCCCTTTTGGCTTTCCCTTCCCTCTTTGCCTAAATTGGAAGCTCCTTGGAGCAGGGACACAATTTGAACCATTAAATCTGCTTGAGAGTAAAAACAGCAGGTCTGAAAGAAGCAAAAAAAGAGAAAGTGTGCACGCCTGTTTTTTAGATGCTGCATCGTGGTATGTGGAGGCATCATTTCCTCCTGTGCGGGAAAGGAGGGGGACATGTTTCTTCTGAGATGGCGCTTGCCACGTGCAGGTGTTCTTTTGCTAAGTTCTTGTATTCAGAGCTTCATGATTAATGTGTAGGGATTCAGGGGACAAGCCCTCCTCTCACAGTGTTTGTGTGTGTGTTTGTGTGTGTGTGTGTTTTCCCTCTCTTGCAGGAGGCCTCAGCCAGTGGGCCAAGAATCCCTTAAGAGGCAGAGCTCAGCCACAAGCAAAGCCCCTTCCCTGACCCCACAAGCCATAAAGCACATTTGGGTGCGCACTGCTTTGATTGAAAGAGTCCTGGACAAAATTGTCCAGTACATTGTGGACAACTGCAGGTAAGGGGGACGGTGCAGGCAGTTTCCGGAACACCATGGCACGTGTGGTGGGCTAGCTGGACTCGTTCGACCAGATTTTAAACCAGATTTAGTCAAAATGGTGGAAGCACATATCAGAGACAGTGCTGCAGGTGGAGGCCGCCTGTCGTCAACAAGCTCATTGCAGGGGCCACCCAGGTCTCGGATTCTGACTGTAGCCAGGGACTCACGTGATACATGGTTCCTCCAGAAACACACACAGGTGCTCTTGTGCATGCCCACACAAATGAATTGCTACATACTGAAGTCTAGCAGTCTTCTCCACGACATCCTGGTTTTCTACAGGCAGGGAATTTGTTTTATGTGGAGGCCCCTTTGGTCATGTGCCCCCCCCCCCCCCCCCCCCCAGTCTGCCCTTGGTGTGCTCTGGAGCATGTCACTGCACGGATGGAGCTGCCAGTGGCAATTGTAAGTTTGCCCCCCACCCAGCAACAGGTCCAGCAAAAAAATTCTGGCTACAGGGCTGCTTTTCTCCCTGCACTGCATCCAGAGCCCCAGGGGAGGGGGGGATGCGCTGAACATGCCCGCTGGACAACTGTCAGGTCACTGGCTCTGGTCTGGGGAGAGGCCGTGGCTCAGTGGCAGAGCAGCTGCTTAGCGGGCTCAGGGTCCCTGGTTTGGCACCAGGCATCTCCAGTGAACAGCTCCCCGGTGCCTTTTCTCTGCCGGAGACCCTGGAGGCAGCATGCTGGCACTCAGAGAAGACCGGATGGAGCTCAGTCGGCCCGTGGTCTGACTCTGTATCGGGCAGCTTCCTCTGACCATGAAAGGCATGCCTAACCTGTAAGCAGAGGTACAGTCCACACTCAGTAGAAGTCTGGCTGGAATTTGGGAAACAGTGTTAGGCCTGTGCAGTTTGCTGCTCTTTGTGTAAAGGCAAGGTGAGGCCAGGCCCGTAGCTAGCAAGGGGCCCATGGGTCCCGCCCCCCATGGTTTTTAAGCCCCCCCCCTGATTCTCAGCTAACCCTCCCTCCCCCGAGCAGCTGGGAGCAAGACTAAGCCCCTTCCAGCTGTGTGTGCTACGACCCATCCACGCCTGCTTTTCCTAGCACTGCAGCCGCGGAACGACCCCACTTCCCGGAGGCGCCATCTGCGTTGGCCGAGTCCAGGCAGAAAACCCCGCCCATCTTCCCTCCCTCCCTGAGGCCCCCCAGGTGTGTAAATCGCAGGTGACCCAACAATCAAAAAGGGCTCTTCCCTTCAAATCCTCCCACCCTTCAGGGAGGCGAGCGCTCGGTCCGAGGTGTCTACACAGCAGTACGCTCTCCTATGGGGAGAGAGACTGTCTCGTTTATAGACAGCAGTTCCACAGTCGTTTAGTCCAACGATTGGAACTCCCCCCCCACACACACACACACTACCCAGATTTACAGCAGTCATCATGACCAAGATGCACAGAACCAACAGAGGTGAGAGGAAAGGCTGGCTCCTCCTTACAGAGGCAAAGGATCTTCACTGGGATGTACTAAAAGGAAGGACAGGATGGCCCATTGGAAACAATGGGAAACACTTGAAGGCCCATTGGAAATAATGGGAGCCAGGAAAGCCAATTGACTTGCATGGGCTCCATTGAAATACATTACAGCTCAAGAAGAGTTGCAAGGCAACTGCGGAATGGATTTTCCATTAGGATCTCTGGGCTCAAACAGACTACTCTGGGACTGGAATGACAGGCCCCAGAGTGGAATGACAGCCCCTGGATGCAGTAGGAGTGGTCCCAGACCATTCCTATTACATCCAGGGGCTGTCATTTCACTCTGGGTCCTGTCATTCCAGTTTCAGAACACTCCTACTACCCCCAGGGGCTGTCATTCCACTCTGGATCCTGTCATTCTAGTCACAGAACACTCCTACTACACCCAGGGGCTGTCATTCCACTCCGGGGCCTCTCATTCCAGTCCTAGAATGCTTCTGCTACCCCCAGGGGCTGTCATTCCACTCCGGGGCCTCTCATTCCAGTCCTAGAATGCTTCTGCTACCCCCAGGGGCTGTCATTCCACTCCGGGGCCTCTCATTCCAGTCCTAGAATGCTTCTGCTACCCCCAGGGGCTGTCATTCCACTCCGGGGCCTCTCATCCCAGTCCCAGAAGACTTCTGTTACTCTTAGGGGCTGTCATTCCAAGCTGGGGCCTGTCATCATTCCTGGCTCCCATGATTTCCAAAGGGCCATCCTGTCCTTCTTTTTAGTACATCCCATCTTCACCTCGTTAAACAGCCATCAGTTGAGCAACTCTCTCAGACCTAAAGGAGTTTGGTCAATGCGCTGTTTTCTTTTGGTGGCATCTTGTAATCCAGGAGTCAGGCTCTTAAATTTACCCTGGATCATAGGGAGGGCTGGCCAAGATGCAGGAATGGCAACTACTGACCTCCAGACTAGTGTTGAGAATAGCAGCTTCCGAGGGTGTGCTTCTGTGGCTTGCCACAGAGATCCCAGGTTAAATCCCTGCCTAAATTCTTCCATCTGCAGTGATGATCAAGATATGCAAAGTAGCCAGTTAAGGTTATAAGGTCAACAGCTGTAAAGCAATAAATATGTCAAACTAGCAGAGAAACGTCTAACGGTGTCTTTTCTGATTTGGTTATTATTTAGAAGTATGAGCATGGCATGGCAGTACCGCACAGACCTATAATGGCGGGCCCCCTGAGAGAAACACTGCAAAAGGTTGTTCTCTCCGGGGCTGGGCCAGCCCAAGCGGACAACAGACTGCCCAGCTAGATCCCAGTGCTGAGTGCTCGGAGGAGGAGGGCCCTGTCTGGCGTCAAAAGCCGAGCGTGTTCCTGGGCGGAGGGATGACATCACTGCTGGCACCTCCGGAGGGGCTCAGGCGGGCTGCCTGTTCGGAGGGAGACAGGCCTTGGAGCACATGCGCCATCTAGTGGCACAGTGGGTTACTCTGGCCAGTTACATCAGTGTCATTTTTCTTGGGGGCTAAATTCTTTTGTGCCCTGCCTGGCCTGAATGACCCACGCTAGCTCGGTCTCATCAGCTCTGGGACACTGAGCAGGGTTACCCTGGTTAGAATTTGGGTGGGAGACTACCAAGGACGTCCAGGGTCGCTATGCGGGGGGCAAGCAGTAGCAAGCTACCTCTGAATGCCTTGCCTTGAAAACCCCGCAGGGTTGCCCTAAGTCAGCTGTGACTTGCCGACACTCTTTGCTGCCACCAAATTCTTTGCACATGTTGACGATGTGCCATACCGGTGGGTGTGTGCGTGCTCGTTTACACCAGGCGGACAGGGAGCCTCATCAACAGGGATGGCCCTGGATAACTCTTGGAAGGGCTTCGACATTCCCCTGAAGGGGTGGATCCGCGGGCGAGGGTCATCGCGAGAGAGGCGGTGGCTTGGCTTGGCCATCCGAAGAGAGCAGGGGGAAGTCTGGCGCACTTGGATTGCATAAAAGAAATGGAACTTGCCGTCTGCAAGGCTCTCAGGCTGTTACATTTACTGGACTTTTATGCGGCTTTGTATTGAGGTTCCAAAGCAGCAGTGAATGCAGGAGGACAATTTTTTTAAAATACATCAAATTATATAAAAAGACTAAAACGTCCAGTTTACCAAACCTGGAAACCACCTACCACGATCAAACCACGTCCAAGCATATAAAATCAAGCTGCCGAGCCTCTGGGAAGAGCCGTGCCGGTTAATCCCTTCCGCCCCAGGCCAGCCGAGATCTGTTTTAAGCAGCGGTGCGGATGGTGCCGGGCGGGGAGTTCCAGAGCTTCAGGGGCCTTGTGCTGAGGGCTGGCCACAGGGCCTCTACGTCACCTGGGCCTTTTCTGACAGGGCTCCAGCTTTGTGGAACGGGCTCCCTGAAGAGGCGAGGGGGGGAGCTGAGTAGAGAACCAGCATTATTGATCTTTTTCAGCCCACGTCCAATCCATAATGTTGCCCCTGTTTGGAAAAAAACATAGGCGGGGTAGCTGTGTTGTTTGTTTATGTCATTTATACACCACGTTCCTCTCCAGTGGAGGCTTAAAAGTGGCTTACTGCATTCTTCCCTTCTCTTCACGGCAACCCTGTGAGGTAGGTTAGGCTGAGAGTGGGTGACTGGCCCAAGGTCATCTGACAAGCGTCTGTGGCAGAGGGGGAATCTGAACTCCCAGATCTTAGTTCGGTGCTCTAACCACTATGCCTCGCTGGCTGGTGGAGCAAATGTGCAAACTGATTAATTGTGTCAGAGGTCTTCGTGGGCTAGCCCCTGCTTTGAGCGACTGGGCCACCAGCCCACGAAGACTTCTGCCCGTGACGAGTGTGCAAGTGGTGAAGGTGTCTCAAGGCTTTTTACGTTTGGGGGCATTTGTTGACCGTATGGCCACCCATCAGCCTCTTTAGCTACGTTGTACTGCAAACTGTGTCATGTTCCTGTTCCTTTTTAATTCAACGGTGGTTTTGTGTGTGTTGGTCTTTTCCAGCAAATACTATGAGAAGGAAGCTTTACTGGCAGATCCCGTCTGTGGGCCCATCTTGGCGTGCCTCCTCGGTAAACTGTCTTCAGATGCTATTTCCGTGTGCTTTAGGATTGCTGTGCTTTGACAGGCCGTATGTGGGTTTTCAGAGCTCTTTTCACAATGAGAAGCAGGCTGTGTTAAGACAAGTGTGGGGTCAGAGATTTGACTAAACCAGCACACACACACGCACACACACGACATGGAATATGGACTTAGAGAGGTTCAGCATTTTGAAACATAGACGCTTCAGTGCCTGGCATCAGTGGCAGGGAGGCCCTTGTGGCCCCTTTTGTGCTACAGGAGAAAGGGGTTTTCCTTTAAAAGCAGGAGGACGGAAGAATTCAGCCTGTTGTATTTGAGGGGTGAGGTGGAACATGAAGATAAGCCCAAAAGTGATGGCGTATTCCTTGCTGAGGTGGCAAACTATACCATTTGAGATAGATTGGGGTGGTCACATCACTGAATGCTCTTCCATATGACCCCCCCCCAGCACCACGTAGAAAACTAGCTTCTCATGCAGAAAACTAGAGTCAGATCATTTCCTCTGACCTGCTAGTTTTCTGTATGCAGGGAGATAGACAGACAGACAGACAGATAGATGGGTGGGTGGGTGGGTGGATGGATGGGACATCTCAGACACAGCCTGGCCACCTCAACGTGAATAAGCCTCATCAGGCGATCCCCTCCCAGGCCCTGTGCTTGCATGTATGACTTTGGGATTCAAGCTATTCATGATTGCAAACGTAGCTGGAAGATTGTCGTGTTAGTCTGGCCAGGGGCTGAGGTGGTCCTCTGTTTGAGGGCCTTAACGGCAAAAAGAAAAGCACACGTCTTGTTTCCGGTCACAGCAGAGTGTTCCGAATTCCATTCTCAGTCTTCTCCCCCCCCCCCCATTTTCAGTTGGCATGTGTGCACTGGAATACACCAAACTGAAAACAGCCGACCACTTTTGGACGGATCCTTCGGCAGACGAGTTGGTACAGAGGCATCGTATCCATGGAGCCCACAGTCGCCAGGACTCCCCATCCAAACGGCCGGCCTTAGGCGTGAGTCTTCCCTGGTGTTGACGTCTCTCCTTTAGCGTTGTACTCTGTTCCCTTCCTCGAGATCTGGGGTGGCTGGTGCTGCGGGAGCACATGCATTTGAGCATTGGTGCCACAGGGACCAGATTCAGACTGGGGGGAGGAGGAGGAGGAGGAGGAAGGGCTCCCCCCCCGCTCTGTGTTCTCAGCCCGGAAGGGGAGGGGCATTATTTGGCTGACCTGGTTCCCGGCACCTGCCGTCTGTCTGACATGGAACGAGTGTTGGGTCTAGTTTGGCCTTCCGAGCAGAGAGTGAGGGGTCAACCACAGAATGCAGAAGGTCTGCACCAATGTTCCCTCTAAGCCATGGAGTCTTGTGAGCAAAAATTCTACTTTGTGAGCTCCTGTCATTAAAGTTGTGAGCCAGCAATTAGTCTACTGCATACATTAGTTTGTTCAGGAGCCATCCTTCCTGAGCTAAAGCAAAAATATGTGAGCTGGAAGCTAAGAAACTGTGAGCTAGCTCACACTAACTCAGCTTAGAGGGAACACTGGTCTGCACCACGGTTCTGAAGGGCACGGGGGTTCACGTGGCTGGCGGTGGGAGGAGACAGGCGGGTGCTGGGCTGAAGGATGGGAAGGTTAAAGCTCTGCCAGAGGAGTGCCGATAGCTCCCGTCTCAGGAAGGACAGGGCCATTCATCCCCTTTGTCATGACCGGTGAGGCTGAGTGGGCGCAAGTCTTCTCGCTTCTCCTGGGTCATCAGCCGAGAAGGGTCTTCCCCATCACCTGCTCCCTGAGATCCCTTGAGCCGCTGGGGGTGCCAGGGCTTGAACCCGGAACCTTCTGCCCCTGAGGCAGGTGTTCTGTGGCCCCTGCTTCATCCAGGTGCCTGACGGAGTCTTGGAAAGGTGGTGGTGGGGTGTGCATCTGTTTGGGCTGAGGTACGTTGAAGGAGAGATGGAAGTTCCCAGGGCCGGTGTGATCGGTGGGTCCTGACTGTGTGTTGAGACCAACGCGAGGGGCCTTGTTTGCACCAGATACGGAAACGACAGTCGAGTGGAAACTCCTCGGAGGACCGTTTTGCGGCATCTGCCAGAGATTACGTGGAGTCCTTGCACCAGAATTCCAGGACGCATTTGCTGTATGGGAAGAACAATGTCCTGGTCCAGCCGGTAAGTGCAGATGTCTTGCGTTGAGGGCCAACTTTGAAATCCGTGTTTTGAAGCAGAAGGCAAGTGGTAGCCGCAGGACGACAACTCCCCAGTCCTTGCTCCTTGAGAAACATTTGTTTTAGTCCATGTTTTGCCCCCCTCCCCCCCATGGACTCTGAGCAGTCCGCATCATCCCGTGTTTTGTTCTCATAAGCAGCCTTGTGGGGGGGGGGGGATGAGGCTGCAGATGTGGGCGTGGATCACTCAGAGAGCTTCATGCCAAGCGGGACTCCCGCATGCTAACTGCTGCATCGCAGTGGCACCATGTCCACTTCTTTTGGCAATGGTAACCTTTTCCAGACGCCTGCTGAGCTCATAGCGCAGAAGGGTCAGGACTGTAAGCCGCTTTGTGGGTCTGGCTTGGGCCATGATGATGGTAGCCGCACAGCAGGGCTTGGATTCCTGTGGTCTTTCCTTCTCCAGCGTGGGGCCTACGGGGACCGATGTGATGGGTGTGCAGGCATAAGCTGTCTGCTTTAGCATGGGAGCGAGCGGCTGCTGGTTCCAAAACGTCTGGGGATTGAGGTGCCCTGTCAGGTGCGTCCAAACACACCTGTCTGAGCTGGGGTCTCCATGACCCAGGCTGGAAATGAAGTCGTGGCATTTTAGACTCCCTTCATTGACTCATTCAGAATAATGACTCATGCCAACAACTCAGAATTATGACTCACGCCCTTAAACGTTTCGGCTTCTCCCATCTATGGCTCATGTCTTAGAGGAAGCCATCGAGTCCCGCTCCCCTCGTGACACTGCGCTTGATACCTCTGGTGCTCTGGGGGGGGGGCGGATTGTGAGGCTGGCTGAGCCCCCCCCCAGGGCACCACCGTTGGGAACAAGAGCCGCCCCGAGCGGGTCCCCTCTGCAGCCAGCCAGCCAGGCGGGGCCAAGCCAGGCGTCCTTCTCCGTTCCACCCACCCCGTCCCCCCGCCCATGCAATCAACAGGCCCTCCCCACCTCCTGTGGGATGGATCGGGCACATGCTGGGAGGCTCCCTAACCGGAAGGAAGGAAGGGAGGGAGGGGGTATATGAGAGGACGGGAAAGGCGGGAGGAGGGAAAGTAGGACAGTGGGGCAGGATAGGAGGAAGGGGAAATGACAGGACAGGGGAGGCAGCAAGAGGGGAAACGGAAGAGTCGGGAGGGAGGGAGGGAGGGAGGGAAGGAAGGAAGGAAGGAAGGAAGGAAGGAAGGCGGACCGAGAACAAGGAAAGGGGAAGGAGGAGGGGAGAATGGCAGAGGCCTAGGACTCCTCCTTGTTTTCCATTTCCTCTTTTACATCCTCATATTTTGTCTATTTCTATTTTTAAAGAGACAAAACCACCTCCTTCTTAAAACTCCACTTGTCTAGCGGCAATATCTATACATTCCCACTGCACAGTTCTTCCTTCCTGCTTCACAAAATGTGTCCCACTATTCAAATAAAACTTGGTCACACACACACACAGCATGCCAGAACATCCTGCCTCAGCCTCCATATCCCCTTGCTGCCACCTGCATGCTGAACCTCCGATCTCCTCCTCGTCCCTTAGTTGTGGCTGGGGACAGAGTTGCACAAGACGGCTTCACACAGAGACCCAGGTTTTACTGACCTCGAATCCCCTTTAATGGATCAAAAGACAAACTAAAAGATGGGGATTCGGAGTAACAGATGTAGCCATTCCAATGAGGAAGGCTTAAGTAGTGCTTACCTTTTAGATAAGGGCTTTAGAATTACTCTGCTTAGATTGTGTTGTAATAGTTACAACAACCCTATAAGGTAAGTTGTTACCCTGGTTGGTATATTCCCCCCCCCCAACTTGTTAGATTCATGAAGATCCAGTGGTTCGGGCGTGTTGGCCTGAAGCAGTACAACAAATGTAGAGTCCAGTCGGGCACCTTGAAGACCAAAAAAAGGTTTCTCAAGGTCTGAGCTTTCATGGGCCTGCAGACTTTATCAAATGTGTTAGAATGGCAGGCAGGGCTCAGACTTCTAGCCAGAGAACTTTGCCTGCCGTTCTAATGTACTTGATTAAATGCGCCTTGCCCATGAAAGCTCAGACCCTGAATAAACCATTGTGGGTCTTAAAGGGGCCGCACTGGACTCAAACTTTGTTGTTAGATTCATATTACTTTTAAAAATGCTTTTTTGTTCCTTCCAGCAAGAAAACGTTTTGAATCCTGTTTTCTCATTGTTACTACTTATTGTGAATTAAAAATATTGACTTCACTGGGCTTAGAAGGGTGTAAGTCTGCTGAGAACTGTCCTGTTAATCGAACCCTGTAGCCACCACACCAGCCGTTAGCTATTTGGTGTGAAAGACGGAGAGAAAGACGGAGAGAATGAAGATGGAGGAAGCAAAAAAGAGTTTTCCTCAGAAAACAGACCCATGCAAGGGGATCCCGAAGCTAGGCCTCTGGGCCCCCAAACTGTGGGATATTTGACAAATGGAGAAATTAATCAATCAAAGTGTTGGGGTAGCAAATGGGGGGGGGTGCCCATTTTCTGATTTTTATCTCACTCTTCCTTGGCTAACTCTAAAATAGAAAGACGACATGGAGGCCATCCCAGGTTACCTCTCTCTTCACCAGTCTGCCGATTCTTTGACTTTAAAATGGACACCAAACCAGCTCATGAACGGGACGCTGGGGGATTCGGACCTCGAGAAAAGGTAACGCCAGCTTGTATGGTTTCCCCTGGTTAAATGACAGATGGTAAAAAAGAGACAGACCTTTACGCATTCCCCTTTACATGCTGCTGAAGGACACTGGCCGGCTGGTGCCTTTATGCCTGGGGGGTACCTCAGCCACGTCCGCACAGACTGAACTCACCGGGACGCTTCCTCTAAACCTTCTGGCTGACTCTCTGGGGGTCCCACAAGGACCGTGTTCCTTTTCTTCGGAGGACTCTCAATTCCAGTCACCACTATTGTTAGCTTACTTTACAAGTGTTCATCTACCGCTTCCTCTGAAAGAAACAGGAGTCTAGCTAACATTTATTCTTTACACGGGAGTACATCTGGTTAGTCTTTAAGGCATGACTGGACCCCTGTTAAATTTTGCTACAAGAGACTAACACAGCAAGACCCTTTGGAATTATACCCCCCCCCCCCAAAGGCTGTGTTCTAAGCAGCTGACAGAAACACTTGTGATGCAGGGCACAACAAAACCAATACAAATAAAACTTTTGACGTTAGCCTCTCATGGGCAGCTTACAAAGTGAAAGAGCAGCTGAGCAGCTGCCAGCAGCCCTCCTGAAGTAAACCCAAATTCTTGGCATGAGGGACAGCACCCTGCAGCCCCTATGAGGCCTGTGGCCAGGTTTTGTTTGCCCCCCCTCCCCCCGTTGCTCTGGCTGGCCCAGGGTCCAGGAGAGAATGAGAGTGGGGAAGGGCTTTCAGTTCCACCGGCTGCCAGCAAAGCTGGAAGTGCCTCATTTTCTTGACCCGACAAAGAGGCTGTGCCGGGTATGACGTATCCCCCCACCCCACCCCACCCCACCCCACCCTTTTTTTTCCCACCCCACCCCAGGCAACTTGGCTGTGGGGAGTCCCACCAGGGAACCATTCCTGGATGACTGAGGGCAGATGTGAAGCCAGACTGTGGCTGGTGAACGACCCTGGAGGAGAGCTGGAGGCTCCCTTGGGTGACGCAGCCTGTCTCACTGCCAGGTTCCTTCTTGGGTGTCTGGCAATTAGGGTTTGTCATGATGCTCATATGGATGAACTCTGGTTCGCACTGGCCCCACATCAGAGCAAGAGAAGACCCTGCTGGATCAGACCATCGGTCCATCTAGTCCTCCACCTTGAGACCCCGGAGAGCCGCTGCCAGTCTGAGTAGACAAGACCGACCTCGATGGACCGCTGGCCTGACTCAGTCGGAGGCCGCCTCCTGTGTGTTTGTGTGCACGTGTGAGACTCAGTTGCCCTGAGGGGCCAACGAAGAAGCCATTGAGGCCAAGGCCTTCCCAAAACTGGCATTCAGACGCTCCCTTCGGTCACCATGGCCGGTGGTGGCCACTGACGGACATCTCCTCCTCCATGAATCTGGCTGAGCCCGTTTGAAAGTTGTCTGTGCTGGTGGCTATCACGGCATCCGCTAGCAGTGATTTCCGCACTTCAGTGACTTGTTGAGCACAGAAGTACTTCTCTCTCTCTCTGTGTTCTGAATCTATTGCTCCTCAATTTAATTGGGTGCCCCCAAGGTTGTTATGGGAGCTGGAGAAAACATAAACCACGTGAATGATAGATTGCCAAATCAAAGGTAATGGTGAACTGTGGTTTGCTACAAAGAAGAAGGTCATTCGGAAGCTTTGCATCGTGCCTGGACCTCCTTAACATGATACCAAACTAAGGGTGCCAACTACAGGCTGGGGGATTCCTGGAGATTTGTGGGTGGAGTCTGGAGAGGGTGGGGTTTGAGGAGGGGAGGGAGCCCAGCAGGGTAGGGTGCCAGGCGCTTCCCCAACCGTTTTCTCCAGGGGAACCGATCGCTTTCATCTGGAGGCCAGTCATGATTCCAGAAGACATCCAGGCCGCCCCTGGAGGTGGGCAACCCCAAGCCAGACCAGGGTTGTGTTTTTTGTGTGAGCGGAGACTTTGGCTTCTTGGCTGCCTTTAGACTCGACCCGTCCTCCAAGCTGCCTTTGAAGAAGCCACTGAGTCTCAGGCGGGGAGTGACAGGGTGGCGGGGATGGGAGGTGGGTGCTGTCCCGACATCACTGTAAGAACAGCGCCTCCGGTCGACAGTCACCTCTCGCCTTTTGCCCTGCAGCATCTACTGGGACTACGCCTTGACCGTCCCCTTCAGCCAGGTGGTCTGCCTCCACTGCCATCAGCGACGTAAGCCTCCTCTGCTTGACTTGGGTTGGCAGCTCTGGATTGGGGAATCCCTGGAGACTTGGGGTTGGACAGGCCCGTGGCTGCGATGGGGCCTTTGAGGGCTCTGCCCCCTTTCCTAAAGGCACAGCCCCACGAGAATTGCTCCTGTAAATGTTTTTCCCCAATCATTTAAAGGTGTGTGCTCCTTTAAGCAGGGTGGGGTGTTGTAGTTAACAACTTGACTCATTCCCGCACTGAGCAAGGAGATTGGACTGGGTGACTGGTCTCCTTTAAGAAAGCCTAAGCTTCCTTGACCATGGGAGTCATCACCCCCACCTGCCGGCTTGTTCGTGGAATGGTTGCCTAGGCTGGCAGAAGCGATTCACTTGCAGCAGCTGAGAACCGTCATCTGAAGTGGTTGACGGCTTGCAATCTAGAGATCTCTCCTGGCAACAGCTTCCCGTTTTTCTAAAGGGCTTCCCTTTCTACACTGCAGACTTCAGCCCTACTTAGGGCTGCCAAGCCGCGGCGGGGGATCTTCACAGGATCCCTGCCGCGGGGGACAGCGATACGCGTTGCACCGCCTTCGCCAGGATGTGACGCATAGCGTCACATCCTGGCGAAGGCGGTGCAACGCGTATCGCTGTCCCCCGCGGCAGGGATCCTGTGAAGATCCCCCGCCGCGGCTTGGCAGCCCTAGCCCTACTAGGAAAAAAAAATTGCCCCACAAGCCACAGAATCCTGGCTGCTGGAGCCTGGAGAAGGCGGGCTTGGAGAAGGCGTGAGACCATCACGTCCCCCCGCCCCCACCCCCGGTGCCGTTCCCTCCAGGGGAATCGGTCTCCGTAGTCTGGGGAACCAGCTGCAATCCCAAGTGATCTCCAGGCCCCACCTGGAGGTTCAGCAAACAAAAACACGTGCCATGAAAAATGACCCATTGAAGGACAGAAGTAAACGAGACATAAGAAATAGACCAAGAACAATGAATAAACTTAAACTCTTATCAGGAAACATAACAGAATAGGTCAGCGATTAAGTGATACGAACCTTAGTAATTATACCAAGAAACAGAACTGGAAACAAAGAATTAAGACTGAAAATGTTATACAAATTTGATGAAATTTTCCTTTATGTTGTATCCCACACCTTGCACCCTTCCCACCATTATATTTTTTGTCCCATACTATATTAAAACTCAATTAATTTTTTTTTAAATTACCATGAAACTTTTGTGAACTGCAGGCTGCGGAAGGTCGGTAGTTCAGCAGTTCGAGACCCGGGTGCCACATGACGGAGTGAGCTCCCGTCTCTAGTTCCAGCTCCTGCCAACCTAGCAGTTCGAAAGCAAGAAATTGCAAGTAGATAAATAGGTACCGCTTCGGTGGGAAGGTCAGAGCATTCCGTGTGCTTTGGTGTTTAGTTATGCCGGCCACATGACCATGGAAACGTCTTCGGACAGCGCTGGCTCTTCGGCTTTGAAACGGACATGCGGCAACTCGGGTCTCGAACTGCTGAACTACTGACCTTCCACAGCCTGCAGTTCAGCGTCTTAACCACTTGAGCCACCGCAGCTCCTGATTATACTATTATACTATTACAAATTAATTATATATCATCTCAAATTCGTATCACATATCCATTGTAAGTAATATCTCCAGTAAGTCAATCAACACGTTGAGTTCTCGAATAAAGTCAAAGTGCTCTCTGTGAATGGGAAAGTGTGCTTTGCCCACGGAAGCTCCTGCCTTGAAGAAACCTCTGTTGGTCTTCAGGGTGCCCCCGCTGGACTCGGAATCTGTTCTGTTGCTTCAGACCAGCAGGACTGACCACCTGGGTCTAGCCTATGAATCCGCTGCCTTCACAGACGTCTTCAAAACTGAAACAGAATTTTGTCCTGCATGTCCGTTTCCCCAAGTATCTATTCAAAATTCTTGCAAGGACAAGAAGCACAGAAAGTCCCCTCATTCCACTAGAGGCTTTTTAAACATGAAGGGTGGAGTAAAAAAAGAAATCAGTAAAATTCTATGTTACTGTCATTCTCTTTATTTAAAGAGAGAAGAAATATCAAGGAAGCCCTCCGGTCATTTTTTCCCCTGCAGCAGAAAAAGGCGGGACCTTGGTGCTGGTGAGCCAAGATGGCATCCAGAGACCCCCCCTGCATTTCCCCCCCGGCGGACACCTCCTCGCCTTCCTCTCCTGTCTCGAAAACGGCCTCCTGCCCCGCGGACAGCTGGAGCCTCCCCTGTGGACCCAGCAAGGAAAGGTACCACCCACCGGGGAACGAACGTCTTCCTGGAGGACGCCTCTGGCGTGGTCTGGGTCCCAGGCTCCAGATGTGCTTTTTCAGTGCCAGGAGTTTTGGCACAGTGGTGTGAGCTGCTGCATGTATTTGCCCCTGAACCCAGATGCCCTATTCCTAACTGTCATGCCTACGAAACAGGGTGGTGTTGAATCCATGTCTAAAGCTAGGTCTGGGGCTGGGCTTTTTTTCTACCTTAGCATTCTGTTTCCAGCTGTGGCCAGCTGCCGCTGGGAAGCCCACAAGCCACGTGAAGGGAACAGCCCTTAAGTGCCCAGCCACTGGCATTTGGCGGTACACGGGAGGTTCCCTTTGGCCAACTCATCTTCATCCGTGAATTTGAGAAACCTTCTTTTAAAGCCGCCTAAACCGGTGGCCCTCGCTACACCCTGTGGCAGTGAGTTCCACAGCTGGGTTATGCACTGTGTGAAGCAGCGCTTTCTTTTGTCTATCGGCAAAATTCATTGGAGGACCCTGGGTATTATGCAAGAAGGTTGCACACCCTTGATAAGTGTCTTGCTTTTTTCTCATGATACCCCACAGGGCAAAGTTTTCCCAAAGCTTCGGAAACGGAACAGCCACAACCGGTCTGTCGATCTGGAAGAAATGCCTGTGGCGGAGATGGCTGCTGATTACGTCTTCAGAATTATTTACCCTGGGCACAGACATGAAAATAGTAAGAGGCTTCTGGGGTTGAACTTCTGTTGGCAGGAGAGGGAGAGTTCCCCGGGAGTATCAGGCACTCTGTGGCTGGGAGGAGGGGTGCTGTTTCCAGCTGTACGGCATCAGACCCTTGGTCTGTCTTGCTCGGGATGGACTGCCCCAGTACCTCGGTGTTACCCACAGGTGCAGCTCGCCAAAGTCGGGGTGTGTGTGTCTTTCCCAGCCCCTCTCCCTAAGTCCCTTTTAACGGGAGGCACCACGGGCTGCCTCTGGAACCTCCCGCATGCAGCGCAGTGGTGCCACTACGGACGTCTGGCCTCTCCTAAGCATAGAAAAGCAATAACCACACGAGGATTCACCGTACAGAGTGGGCCCTTGGTCCATACCGCCAGTGTGGCCTGCTCTGATGGGCAGTTGCTCCCTGTGTTTGTCCTGCCTGAAATCCATTAGCTGGAGATGCCGAGGGCTGAACCAGGTACCATCTTCGTGCCAAGCAGGTACTCTACAGCCATGGCTAGGCCCCGTGGGCAGTGTTCCCTCTAAGCTGAGTTAGTGTGAGCTAGCTCACAGTTCTGTTAGCCTCTGGCTCACACATTTTTGTCTTAGCTCAGGAAGGATGGCTCCAGAGCAAAGTAATTTATGCAGTAGCCAAACTGCTCGCTCACCACTTTAATGCCAGTGGCTCACAAAGTAGAATTTTTGCTCACAGGACTCCACAGCTTAGAGGGAACATTGCCCGTGGGTTGGCTTTTGGCTTGTCTTGCGGGGTCAGCTCATGGTGCCCAGCATGGCCGTGCCGGAAAGAGCCTCTCCTGCACACTTGAGCCAGTCCGTGCAGGGAGACGCGGATCCCTGGAAGAGAACCTGCTTTGCATGCAGAAGGTTGCCGGTTCAATTCCCTGGCATTTCTACTCACCTTCTGCTTCAGTTCCCCTGGAGAGCCACTTTGGTGTAGTGGCTAAGTGCGCAGACTCTAATCTGGGAGAACCGGGTTTTATTTATAGTTTGATTCCCCACTCCTCCACTCACAGCTGCTGGATGACCTTGGGCAAGCCATAGTTCTGGTCAGAGCTGTTCTCTCAAGAGCAGTTTCTGTCAGAGCTCTCTCAGCCCCACCTGCCTCACCGGGTGTCTGTTGTGGGGAGGGGAAGGGGAAGGAGTGTGTAAGCCGCTCTGAGACTCCGAGTGAAGGGCGGGGTTTAAATCCAACCTCCTCTTCTCCTCCTCCTCCCAAATTTCACTGTGACACAGATGTGCTTATTAGCTGAATCTGGGCATGATTCTACACATACGGCAAATGTGGCCTTGAATTCTGGCGCATCGACATGGTCTCTGGCTGATGCAGCAAAACATTCCTCTGCTGTGCTTCCACTGGAGTGTCGTGTCCATGTCGAGTGCAAACAAGACCCCTGGGCTGGCCTCAGTAGACGGCACGGGGCCCCTCTTCCGGCCCACATAGCTGCACGTGCTCCATCTTCCCAGGTTTATGTCGTGCATCGAATGAAGCAGGAGGCGTGGCTCAGTGGCAGAGCACCCGCCTGGCACGGAGAAGGAGGTCCTGTCTGTTCAGTCACTGGCATCTCCCACTCCAGCTCCAAGGATTTCACAGAGCGGACGTTGGGAAAGACCTTTCTCTCTGTCTGCTCCACTTCTGGTCACCTTTTCAAGTTTACACTATGCCTCTGAATGACTTGGGGGCCACGGCTCAGTGGCGGAGCACGTGTGTGGCTTGCAGAAGGCCCCTCGACACCAAGCATCGCCAGTCGGAGGACCTGAAGCAGAAAGATTGGAGAAAGACCTCCGACTGCCTGAGCCCTGCTAAGCCGACAGGACTGGGGTGGATGGATCAGTGGCCTGGAAGTATAAAGCTGTTTCACAGGCTTCATTCATGGCCTCACCCAGTTTGGGTTTTTGGCAGGGGTGGTGGGAGCCGTAGCATTTGAGCTGATCCTCAGGGGATTTTTTTTTGCTCTGTCAGGGTCCAGTTTGGCTACTCAGCTGAGCAATTCATCCTTCCCAGCTACAGACGGTCAGACGGAGCAATCTCTCTCTCTCTCTCTCTCTCTCTCTCTCTCTCTCTCTCTCTCTCTCTCTCTCTTATTTTTTCATTGCCTCGCTGTGCTGTGCTGTGCTTGCCTTGGCCTTCTTTTCCCGTTATTAGTTTTCATTAGCTGGCAAGAGTCTATTTGAGCACTCAGTGCAATCTCCGGTTGTCTTTTCTAATTGTCTAGAATCCACCCTGTCCTTATATTGTTAAGGTGTTTTTTGCAATTTGGGAACTTGGTGAAAATGAGAGGAAAGGAGGGGGAAAATCCTGGAATGGGGGGGAGATGTCAGTGTTTGATTTCCCAAACATTATAAGACGTTTTCAAGGAATATGAAGGTTCTCATAGCCTTGGGGGTCAGGGGAATGTATGTGTGGCCTTCACAAATAGGGCAGCCGGTCCGTTTGCCCCTGAAGCACTGCCTGCTGTGCCTTGCTCCCGAGGGACACAGGTCTCCGCCGGCGTGGATATGCGCTTGTGGTCTGGAGGGGATATTCCTACAAATCCACGGTGCCAGAGTTTTATGCTGCCCCCCTGTGGAGGGGAGGACCCCATTCCTTTGCCCCCAAACATGTCCTTTTAAGACGTTGTCGATCCAACACCCGTTTTCATTTTCTTATGCTCCTCTTTCACTATTTTCTTTGAGCAGTAACTATTAACTACCACCACTTAGCTGCCAGTCGCTCTGCCTCTGTCGACGATGACGAGGAGGAAGAAGATAAGCTGCACGCAATGCTATCCATGATCTGCTCTCGGAACCTCACAGATCCTAAAAGGATGAAAGGTTTTTATCCTTCTCCCCCCCCACCCCACCCCCTTCATTTCTCCCGCAGTGGCACTGGAATGACTCTCGCACATGGCATACGGCAGGGTTGGCATTATCGGACGGTTTCTCTCCTCCTTGTGCAGGCTTCAAAGTTGGTCTTCAGACCTTCGGTTTTTGCATTCTCCAGATGATCCGTTCACGTGATCAGTCAGTACAAGAAGAGTCGGAGCGGGCACCAGAATCCCCACCCCTGCTTGTGAGCATGGCACCTGTGGGTGGAGGAAATGTACGGGCGCTTTGAATATTCCTGATCACGGGGACGGAGCAGAGAGACCTCTGCCCATAGGTCCCATACTTATGAGCCGACAATCACAGGGAGGAAAGGGTGGTGCCAGTAGTGAGCACTGACTGAGCGTGCGCTGATTGAAGGCACAAACAGATCGTGTGCAGAGGGCTTGTGTGGTGGCCATTTGGAGATCAGCGAGAGCGGCTGATCTTTCTGCTCTCTGGGTGGGCAACCCGCAGTAAATCCTTCCTCCCTGCTCTTCCATAGAAGCCTTATTGACAGCCGTCCCCTCTCTCTGGCGGCTTTTGCAACATGGCAAAAGCTCGTTCACCTGGATCGCTGTTGGCTGCATCTGTGAAAGAGACGTCAGCACCATGAGAAACAAGCCAGTCTTGGGTCTTTTTAAAAAGGATCCCTGGAGGGCAGTTTGAAATACACTTACGCCCGTGAGATTAATTCACATGTGCTTGAAAAGAGTTTGGGAGTACAGGATCATCTTTTCCTGATGGTCTGATTTCAAAATGAGACAGGGAAGACTCTGCTTCTTCCCACCTGATACCAGCCGTCTTCAGTACTTTCCTCCGTGAAAGCAAGTGAGCTTCTGAATCTGACCTTAATTGTGGGTCTCTGCACAGAGCAAGGTGTCCCTTTAAATGGAACAATCCAGGCGGGAGGATTGTGTTGGGATAAAGCTTGGCCAGTGAGAGTCCACTCAGATGGCTCCCAATGTAGCACGGGTTGATGGTTCCTTCCACCCTGGGCAAGGAGCGCAGCAGCAGCAGGATGGGCAGGGCCTGAGTCCCACTAGCCAGGACCATGTTGAGGGCATGGCCTTGGTTCCAGGCAGCAACAGAGAAGGCTACCTTGCAGGACTGGTGTTGTTCACTGGAGGAAGAATTGTCTGTCTTAGTACAGAGTTTGAACAGTAGCTCAAAGGCTGGCAAAGGACTGGAAATGAAGGCTCAGCTGTAGCCAAATTCCTCCCTCTCACCTGAAGCCTCGTGAGTACGGTTCCCAGAGTGGGAAGCAAGATGCTGGTCCAGAGCCTTGGAAACAGATGTGCTGGCAGAGGAGCCTCGCGCACAACCCTGGTCGTGTGGATCCAGGGAACCCCTTGGGGTGGGACACCCACAGCAGAACCAGAACAGCAGAATTCGATCCAGCAGCCAGCAGGGCTGGTGCAGTTGAGGTATCCCAAGGGGAATCCTTTGCCCAGTATAGACGAGCTGCGGCACTTATGGAGGCTGTTGGCTCTTTGGCCTGAGGGGTGAGTTCAGGACAGGGTTGCTGCTTTCTGCCAAAAAGGGGCAGTTAAAAAGCAGGAGGAAATCAGGAGATTGTTGGTCAAACCGACCCTTGTTTCCCCTGGAAGCTCTTAGCCCCTGCTAAAGGGAGGTGCCAAGGGCAAAAGCTTCCCTGTCCCGGCTGAAGTCTCCGTTGGTCTGGCGGCAAGACGCCTCCGAGGGCAGTGTGCTGTTTTGCCTCGTGGTCCTAGGCCCAAGTGAGATGTCTCCGTGTGGTCGAGCTGGTCGTGGAGGCCCCGAGGGACGGCTGGAAGCTGCAGGTCTGGGAGTGGCCTGGAGGAGGAAGGGGAGGAGAGCTGGCCAGCATGGCGGCATTCACAGTTTGGCCGCCCGCTAGCCTGGCGCTGGCTCCCCAGTCCTGCGGTGTCTTGTGTGGCTTGATTGCACACCAAGGGGTCCAGTCCTAAGTCAACTCTCAGAAAGGTGTGAGGCGTATTTTGGACTTTCCCCCTCAGGCTGGCGGTGCAGGTTGTGGCCCTTCACCTGAGCTTTCATCCGTCTCCCGCTGGTGCCGTAATGCCAACCCCGTCGTACCCAGTTTGCTCTCCATTCTGCTTTGACTTTCCTGCCACCTCTTTGCCTGTTTCTGCATGGGGCCAGGTTTCTGCAGGGACTGCACCACTCCGCAAACTAGAACCAAACATATTGTTCTGAAGATGCTGTTCACTCTAATTCTTCACTCTAACTCCGGTACCTTTCATCTGAATCCTTAGGTTCTGTGGGGTTCACCTTAAAAGGACACTGTTTCTTTGTTTAAAAAAACCCAAAAACAAAAATTCTAAGTGCGTTTCTTGTCTGTGGAGGGGAAAGTGGGGGAAACGATCCCACTTTTTTAAAGATTGGGGGACTGGATGGTTTTATAAGAAGCTGCCTGAAGTACTGGCTCGGTTCAGCTCGTTCCTGAAGAATTAAGGTGAAGAGCATTTTTTGCCCCCCATTCATTTTGGCTTTGATAGAGACCTGATCTGCAGTCTGCCATGATCTTGTGCTTTCTTCCTCTTTTTTTCCTTTTTGTGCCAACTACATCAGTCCATCCCCCAAATCCTGTACCTTGCTGTGAATGTGCCTCACGTTGGAGTGATGGCAGACTCCCGTTTCCCCCAAAAAACATGTCCACTTTTTGGAGGACAAAAACGACTCCAAGCCAGATTGCTGTGTTGGGTACTCAAGTGCATGATTCGGCCATCCCTCCTTCCTTTTTAATTACTTCATCTCCACCCAGATTTGAATGCGTGGCTGGGGGGGGGGAACGGAACGGGAAAAAACATGGCTTTTGCTTGCATGTTTTAACACGGCTGCCTCCGTTGCCTTGCCTTAATTGGACATCATGGATGAGCTGAAGGCCAGTGGTGGATGAGGGAGGGAGGTTAAGGTCAGGGCTTGTCTTTTTCTTTGGCTGGTAACCGGCTGGCTGCGTTCGCCTCCTGGCCCAAAGCAGGAGATAAAATTGGGGGGGGGGGCACTGCTTGGGATGGGAGGGAGGGAGGCGTGCAGCCAGTCCTTGGGCCTGTCCGCCTCCTCCCTCCTGCAGGCACTCAGAAGTCTCCCTGTGTCTCCCCTCCCTCCTTTCCCCTAGAGATCGGCGACATGATGGAGACGCAGGGATTCCGCACCGGCTTGTTGCCATGGCAGCTGGAGCCCTGCAGCCAAGGGTCCTCGTGCCTGTCATGCTCAACAAGCAGCTCTCCTCATGACCTCCCCAGCGGCTGCAGCTGCATTCACGACAGGTGATTTGATTTGGACGTCAAGCCAGGATGTTCACGAACCCGGCTTGTTGCCTGGGCACAGGTGCAAGTCTAGTGCTGAGCCAGCTTTTTGCACCTACAAGGTTGATGTGATGTCTGAGTGCAGCTTGAGTCTTGGAGTGCTCTGAGCAGTATTCTGGGGGGGGGGAGGGTTGGGGAGAAACCCAGGGGGGATTTTGACCCGTGCAGCACCTCGGAGGCACAGAGGGTGCTGACTTTGGGGTGTTCCCTGAGGAGGCCAGCCTAGGAGAGAGGACTCAGTACTGTTACTCCTGCATCAGAAATGGAATCTTCCCACTGTCTGTTGTCTTCACCTCCCGACGGAGCTGAGAAGTGGGAGTGCTCAGCATATTCATTGACAGGCTTCCTTTGTGGGAGGCCACCCAGCAGGCTTTCCGGGCAGCGGGGGAGTCAGACCCGCATCTCTCCAATCCGAGTCTGACTCCAGCCACTCTCTTGTGCGGGGGCATTTGTCTGGCATTCTGATTGTCTGGCATTCTAGGACGAGGCAGCCCTGGCTTCTTGCCGGTTGGAAGGGCCAACACATATATAATTATTCATGTGTATTTTTATAAGGCCCAGAAATGGGCTTCCAAAGGATTGTGCAGCGGCTTCAAAACTAGAACAGGTGTCAGCTGAAATGTCATTGTAATGAGGTCTCCAGGTTGCTCCTTCTCCTTCCGCCTGCCCATCCGGACGGCGGCAGCAAGCTGGAGAGGGGCTTTTTTTGGCTAGGCCCAGGCCTGGCGGTGGGGGGCTGCTCTGGTCCCCTCCCCTGGCTCTTCGGATGGGGGGGGTTCTCCCCTGGAGCTGGGCCCAGGCAGAGGAGGAGGAGGAGGAGGAGGAGGAGGGTGCCCAGTGGCTCTCTGGCCTGGCTGGCAGAGGAGACACGGGCTCCGGATCTGGCAGGTCCCCTGGCCTCTGCAATTCAGAGGGCTTCATTGGGAGAACAGATGTGTTGGGGATTTTTAGGAAAGGGATTGAGAATAAAACGGCCGATACTGTAATGCCCCCGTATAGATCTCTGGCACAGCCTCATTTGGAAGAGGGTGTGCAGTTCTGGTCACTGCTGCTCAAAACGGACATGGCAGAACTGGGAAAGGATCAGAGGAGGGCGACCGAGATGGGGGGGGGGGTTTGGAGCCCCTTCCCTGTGAGCAAAGGCTGAAGAGTTTGGGACTTCTCAGTTTAGACAAGAGACAACTGGGGGGGGGGAACATATGAGAGAGGCTTATAAAATTATGCACGGGGGTCGAGAGAGTTGTCAAAGATAACGTTTTCTCCCTCTCCCAAAAGACTACAACCGAAGGGCATCCATTGAAGCTGATGGGCAGCAGGTGCAGGAGGGACAAAGGGAAATACTTCTTTACACAGAGAGGGACTAAAAGGTGGGATTCGCTGCCAGAGGATGTAGTGATGGCTGCAGGAACAGACAGCTTTGGAAGGGGATGAGATAGATTCATGGCGGATGAGTCTGTCAGTGGCCACTAGCCCTGGTGGCTGAGGGGAAACTCCACGTCGAGAGGTAGTTAATTTCTGAATACTGGCGGCAAGAGGCAACCTCAGGGGAAGGCCTCGGCCTCCCTGCCCTGTTGCTGGCCCTCCAGAGGAACTGGCTGGCCCCTGTGTGAGACGGGAGGCTGGAGTAGAGGGACCCTCCCTGGTCTGATCCAGCAGGGCTCTTCTGATGTCCTTCTCAGGGGAAGGCCTCGGCCTCTCTGCCCTGTGGTTGGCCCTCCAGAGGAACTGGTTGGCTGCTGTGTGAGAGAGGAGGCTGGGCTAGATGGGCCCTCACTGGTCTGATCCAGCAGGGCTCTTCTGATGTCCTTCTCAGGGGAAGGCCTCGGCCTCTCTGCCCTGTGGTTGGCCCTCCAGAGGAACTGGTTGGCTGCTGTGTGAGAGAGGAGGCTGGGCTAGATGGGCCCTCACTGGTCTGATCCAGCAGGGCTCTTCTGATGTCCTTCTCAGGGGAAGGCCTCGGCCTCTCTGCCCTGTGGTTGGCCCTCCAGAGGAACTGGTTGGCTGCTGTGTGAGAGAGGAGGCTGGGCTAGATGGGCCCTCACTGGTCTGATCCAGCAGGGCTCTTCTGATGTCCTTCTCAGGGGAAGGCCTCGGCCTCTCTGCCCTGTGGTTGGCCCTCCAGAGGAACTGGTTGGCTGCTGTGTGAGAGAGGAGGCTGGGCTAGATGGGCCCTCACTGGTCTGATCCAGCAGGGCTCTTCTGATGTCCTTCTCAGGGGAAGGCCTCGGCCTCTCTGCCCTGTGGTTGGCCCTCCAGAGGAACTGGTTGGCTGCTGTGTGAGAGAGGAGGCTGGGCTAGATGGGCCCTCACTGGTCTGATCCAGCAGGGCTCTTCTGATGTCCTTCTCAGGGGAAGGCCTCGGCCTCTCTGCCCTGTGGTTGGCCCTCCAGAGGAACTGGTTGGCTGCTGTGTGAGAGAGGAGGCTGGGCTAGATGGGCCCTCACTGGTCTGATCCAGCAGGGCTCTTCTGATGTCCTTCTCAGGGGAAGGCCTCGGCCTCTCTGCCCTGTGGTTGGCCCTCCAGAGGAACTGGTTGGCTGCTGTGTGAGAGAGGAGGCTGGGCTAGATGGGCCCTCACTGGTCTGATCCAGCAGGGCTCTTCTGATGTCCTTCTCAGGGGAAGGCCTCGGCCTCTCTGCCCTGTGGTTGGCCCTCCAGAGGAACTGGTTGGCTGCTGTGTGAGAGAGGAGGCTGGGCTAGATGGGCCCTCACTGGTCTGATCCAGCAGGGCTCTTCTGATGTCCTTCTCAGGGGAAGGCCTCGGCCTCTCTGCCCTGTGGTTGGCCCTCCAGAGGAACTGGTTGGCTGCTGTGTGAGAGAGGAGGCTGGGCTAGATGGGCCCTCACTGGTCTGATCCAGGAGGGCTCTTCTTATGTTCTTATGTTCTTATAGAGCTGAAGAGGATCCAGCAGGTGTCCTCTGGGGACTTCTGGGCCACCTGGTCCTGGGTCATTTAGGGCTGTCATGGTACACCCTGGCACTATTAACCCACGGGGGGCTGTTTACTCCTCGGTTGGAACGATCAGACCAGGCTGAAGGACGTGTGAGACTCTAAGGCTTTCATCCACTGAATCAGTAATTTTTATAGGTCCGCCTGAAGTTTAATTTCTTTGATGGTGTGACATTTCAGCTGTTCTTAAAACAAAAAGCATTTCTAGAAAGGAAACAGTTTTCAGTTTCTTTATTTGCTTACCTGTGGCACGAATCAGGTGCAGATTTATAGATTTTTCGTGTGCAAATTCATTGTTGTGTAGGACAAAGATGAGTCAAGCACACAGGTTAGGTCTCAGAGTCTTAAAATGGTTACAAGTGCAGTAAAAGACAAAGTCTGGGGCTGGCCTTAGGAACTGGGGCTGGAGATGGTGCCCAGGAACTCACCGGCAGCAGCGGTGCCCCTCCTTCCCGGTTTGGTGAGAGAGTTTCCCAGGAGCCTAGCTGTCACATCCTGCAGTATTCCAAATCCACCCCAGTCAGTTTTTCAGGTGACACAGTGGCTTGGGTCACAAACTGGTCAGGACCTGTCCTTTGGTCCACAGGAGATCAGGTCCGCAATCGTCCATCTTTGCCATGTGGGGATCCAGGGACGCCAAAGCCCCACCTTCAGGATTTGTATTGATTTGCAGCATCATGTCTTCAGGGGATGTAGATGCAGCATCATGTGGGGTTTTTTAAAAAGCACCACAAAACGGTTCAGTTGCCGAAAATTCCAAATTGCCACAAAAATAATAAATTGGGGCTTAACCCCCTCCGTATGGCAGCAGCACGCACACGCGCACACACACACACACACGGAAACTGCAGTCCAGAGGGCTCCTGGGGTGGTTGTATCTGATGTGTCATCCCAGGTCCACGGAGACCAGGGACGGGCCACGGAGCCAGCACAGGTGAGCCAGCTTGGGGTGGGGTGGGGGCGGGAGATGGTGCAGCTGGTGTGGAGGGGGGGCGGAGGAGGAGCCTGAGGTGAGTGGGCAGGTGAGCCCCTGGGAGAGAGCGAAAATAGCCCCAGAGCTGGGGGGGTGTGCAGTTGACTTTGCCTCCTTCACAAGTCATTGTGGGTCTCCCTTTTGTTACTTATTTGTAGCTCCGTTGTCATTACTTGTTTTATTTCTTATACTAATTTCATGTTACCCTTGCGTATGGCACTTTAGAGGATGACGGGGCCGAGAAAGCAGGCTCCGCTCAGAGGTGTTTCCGGCTGGAAGCTGAGTGGGGGGAGAGGAGGACCGGAGAAGGGTTTGCCTCTGCTGGAGGTGGGAATGGGGAGAGGATTGTCATGGCTAAGTGAGAGACAGTGTTGTTCAGGGGTTAGAGTGCTGGGCATAGGCTTGGAAGGACCCGTGTTTGAATTGCCTGACAGAAATACTCTAAAGAAAGAAGTCTCACAGTCTTTCGGCTGAACCCAGCTCTCTCGGGGGTTGTGGGCCGTAAGGGCCCTGGGTTCCGTAGCGGCAGGGCAGGATGATGTGTAGATTAATTAAGCCTCTCTTTTTATAGGACCCCTCTGAAAATGCTGTGCGAAAGCATGAAGAGGCAGATTGTTTCCAGAGCTTTCTATGGGTGTAAGTGTCACTCTCTGGATTCCTCTGTGTGTGTGTGTCTCTGTGTGTGTGTGTGTGTGTGTGTGTCTTTCTGTCCCTAATGTTCACAGCCGCTGTGAGTTTCACCCGGGTTCCTCTCTCCCCGCTCTCTGCAGGGCTTGCCTATTGCCGCCATTTGTCCACGGTACGAGTGCACTTGTCTGCTCTGGTGAATCACACAATCATCCCACCAGACAAGCCCACAAATGCTGCGGAAGGCCTGACCCAAGAGGGGTGGAGCAAATATCAAAAGGACAAGAAGGTGAAGTCATGGCTCGTGATGGTTAAGTGGTATTAAGTGAACAAAGGAACCCCTAAAGGGCAAGAGCCGCAATGGGCGGCCCGCCAAAACAGTTGACGAGAATGGACTAGCCTTCAGGCTGCCGATCTGTGACTCCTGCCCCGCGGAGGATTCTTTCGGTCCTCGCGGCGCTTGTGCCTTCGGGTGCAGGATTGTTTGCAGGGGCTGGGAGGGAGAGCTTCGTGGCTGCCTTTGGGGCTGGGGCAGGGGGCCTGGCTCTTCAGAAGGGAAATGGATACAGGGAACTTTTTTCTCCCCCTCATGTTAGGAGGTGGGGTGGGATCATCCAACGGAATTGGTGGCAAACTGGGGACAGATGGAAGACTTCCCTCAACATGTCAAGGCAGGTGGGACTCACTGCCACAAGATGCAGATACCTCTGCCAGACGCAGACCTGAAGGGAGATAAGCCTGTCCGTGGCTATGGGCGATAATGGCTACACTGACCCCCCGTGTACCATTTGCTGAGGGTGGGGTGTGGTGGGCTGGCTGGGTTGGAGCCGGGAGGCCAGCTGCAAGGGCCCCTTGGCCCTCCTTGACGGGAGGCTTCCGATTCCCAGGGTGTGCCCCGGCTTGGACGGCTCACAGGCCTTTCTCCCTCTGGCCAGAGGCCCCCAATGGGTGAGGCGGGGTCCTGGTCTGAGCCCAAAGGGTCCCTGGCTCCTGGGTTGCTGGCAACTGTCTGTTGAGGTCCTTGTTAGACACGGGCTTAATATCAAGCTGCTAGGAAACCACTGGCATAGACAGACAAAATGCTTGCTGGTTATTTTTACAAAATCTTGCATCGTTTTGCGGGCATGTAAGGGTTACCCAGCTGCAGCAGACTGTGGTCCATCTAGTGCCACGTCCTGATTCCAAAAAGGATCGCTGAATGAGCGTGGAGAGTCACAAGCATGGCAGAGAGGAGATGGCCGTCTCTTGTTGATTGTCCGGGTGTTTAGAGATAGACTGCCTCTAAACATGGAGATTTCCTTTATCTACCATCTATGTATTTATTTCCTTCACTTACACCCTGCCTTTCTCTCCAGTGGGAACCCAAAACAGCTCACATCCTCCTCCTCTCCTTCTTTTTACCCTCACAGCAACCCTGTGAGGTAGCTTAGGCTGAGAGTGTGTGACTGGCCAAAGGTCACCCAGCAGGCTTCCATGGCACAGGGGTCCTGGAACCTAGTCTGACACTCGAACCACTCCAGTTGTGAATGGCAGAATCCTTTTTTTGAAAGCCAGCTGCAGTTGTCTCTGCTGGGGCACAATGGGCGGTCAGCGGCCGTCAGCCAGGACAGCTCTGGGGAGCCAAGTTCAGAGGCTGCCTGCCTTCCAGTCCAGCCACCGAGGCCAAGCCACAGGGATGGTGCCGCTTCCCTGCCTTGCTTGTGGGACTCCAGACAAGAGGGGGACCTTTGGTCTGATTCAGCAGAGTGGCTCTTGCGTTGTCGTGGCTGGCTGGCTCAATGGCAGAGCATCCACTTGGCACGCACCAAGAGCCAGGCTCACTCCTTGGCATCGCCAGTTGAAACAGTAAGGTGGGGGCTGTGTAGAAGGCCTCTTCTGCCTGAGACCCTGGAGAGCTGCTGCCCGTCAGAGTAGACGATGCTGGGCCTGTTGGTCTGATGTGGTGCAAAACAGCTGTGTGTGCTTCTTTGCTCATGTGTTTTTTCTTAATTTTAATTCCTCCCCCCCCTCCCGTTAGAATTACAAGGAATTGGAACTGCTGCGGCGGGTTTACTACGGTGGGGTGCAGCATGAAATCCGAAAGGAGGTGTGGCCATTTTTACTGGGGCACTACAAGTTCGGCATGACCAAAAAGGAGATGGATCGGGTGGGTATATCCTGACTGCTGAGGTGGGCAGGGAAGGGAAAGCTCTGCGGCTTCCTCAAAGAGGTTGTGTCTCTTGGGTCTCGTCTGCGTGTCTTCTGTCCCCAGTCCCCAAGCCCCCCACTTCCCTCCCTTCCGCCTCTCTCTGGAAGAACGCCCGCAGTCTGGACGCTGGTGCAGGGATTGATCTGTGGCGTGGAAGGGAGCCCCCCTCCTGATCTGCCCACCGGATTGGAGGGCTCCGTTCTGCTGCCTGGAGCAGAGGCCCCCCCCCCAGGGCTTGACTTGGAGCTCATCCCCCGGGCTCGGCAGGGGGAACCCCCAGACAGGCTGCTGCTTCTCTTGGAGGATGCCAGCGGTGAGGGAGAGCACAAAGTGTGGCCCTGGTCGTGGGCACTGCCAGCCAGAGCAACCGGTGCTGACCTAGAGGGACCAAAGTGCCGACTCCTCCGTCAGAAGCCGCTTCCTGTGTTTGCAAGATCTTGCCAGAAGGGCTGGCATCCCATTTGGCCAGGGGAGGGGAGATGCGCTCTTTCTCCTTGGATTCCAGAACTCTCGTGGAATGCTGGTGAGGGACGCCAGTTGCTCTGTTGCATGCAAATCGGTGTGTGTTCCCTGGATAACTCTCGCGACTGTACCGCGGAAGTGAGAATTCTCAATGCTTTCCCCAAGACTATATGAAGATTTGACCCCAACAGAGCTCCCTTTCCTGTTTGTTTGTTTTTTAAGGTGGATGAGGAAATTATGCTCCAGTACAAGAAGGTCATGGCTGAGTGGAAAGCCTGTGAGACGATTGTGAAGCTGCGGGAGAAGGAGTCTCAGCCGGTCACCAAGTTCTCCTCCGGCAGCAGCATAGATAGCCACGTGCAACGGCTGATCCACAGGGACTCCACCATCAGCAATGATGTAAGGCGTGGCCTGTCTCATCCACTCAGTCAGGCCACATGACCCCTTGTTGCTGCTATAGGTAGATCTGCAGAGCTGCCATCGGTAGCTGCTGGATTAATAGAGTTGGAAGGGACCTCCAGGGACATCTAGTCCAACCGCCTACACAATGCAGGGAATTCACAAATACTTCCCCCCCACACACACACACACCCAGTGACCCCTGTTCCACGCCCAGAAGATGACAAAAACCCTCCAGCCAAACTGGCCTGGAGAAGAATTGCTTCCTGACCCCCAAAGTGGCGATCGGCATTTCCCCGGGCGTGTAAGAAAGGGCCCCGAGAACTAAGCACTGAGGCAACCCTTCCTGCCCTCCCTCTCGTGATGTGCAGGGTTCATCTATGGGTTATTCACAGCTCTTCCCCTCTGTCCTTTCCCATTTTGTTATGTGTCTCTAAGTACCATTTTAGTCCATAAAAGGCTTTCCTTTCATGTACTGATCATTCTAGTATTTCACCCACCCCTCCAAGAGATCTTGACTTAAAGATTTTGTTTTCTTTTTCAAAGAATCATGTTTGGTTCTGGTTCCATGTTCCCCTTTTTACACCATAAATATTCACTTGCCTCCACTAAATTATTGTATTTTCATTGTGAGCGAATACTGGAAGAATTTCAGCATTTTTATTTTTCTGGTTGTGGGGAGGGGGAATCAATATCCCCCCCCTTTTAGGGATTCCTTTCCTGCTGACCTTTCGGGTCCTTTTGCTAATCACGTCCTTTCTCCTTCCCCCTCTGCTGGAAACCAATCGCCTGCAGGTCTTTATATCTGTTGAGGAAATGGACTCTGTGCCGCAGGAGCCGAAAGTGCCGGCGGGCCCCTCTTTGGCGGGAGGGAGCGTCGATGTGCCCACGGTGGTGGCCGTGCTGGAGCAGCAGCCCTCAGTGGAATTCGACTCCCCCGACTCCGGCCTGCCTTCCTCTCGGAATTACTCCGTCACCTCGGGCATCCTGTCCAGCATTGACGACGGGCAGAGTGTCTGCTTCGAGGATGGCATGGAGGAAGAAGGCGGCACTGATCCGCAAAGGCCAGGCGCAGAGCAGGCTCAGAAGACAAAGAGCTTGGAATCCGACAGCTCGGTGACCGAGGAATCACTGTGCTCCCTGGTGGAGAGTCGGGCGCCCGCGGAGGAGACCCTTTCTGTCTGCTCTGCCGCTTACACGGTGAGATCCTGCTAAAGGTGTGTGTGTGTGTGGGTGGGGGGTGTAGCAGGTGCAGGTGACTGCCTTCCCGTGTTTGGGGCTCCACAGAGCCTTTGCCAGGCAAAGCAGAACTCGCTGAGTCTGGTGAGCTGCTGTCTGGCAGCTTTACATGCAGAGGTGAAGAAGCAGGAGGTATGCGAGGCATGCAGAGGGTCCAGGGCTCAGTCCCTGGCGTGGCGGATCCCCAGGAGATCATGGTGGTTCATGTGGTTTCCCAAAAAGCAGGAAGTGTCTGGGCTTGCTCTGTGGCAGGAAAACACACACCGTCTCCTGTAGGGAGTTATTAAAGTATATGTGTCTACGCTGAACCCTTTAGAACAGACATGCGTGAGAATGGAGCGACCCTAAGGGCAGTGAGATAAATCTGCCGAGTGCATTTCTAGCCTTCCGTTCCTCCAAATTGCTGAGGGTGGCTCTCCCTTCCCATGTTATCCTCACCTCAGCCCTGTGAGGTAGGTCAGGCTGAGTGTGACTGGCTCAAGGTCACGTAGCAACCTCGTGGTGGATGTCACCCATGGCCTTCCGGGATACTAGCCCAGCTGTCCAACTGTTCTGCCACCCCCGTCGAGGGAGCAAGCGAGAGAGAGATCTCGCTCTGGTCCCAGGCCTGGGCCGCAGGATGAATCCCCACTCAGACAGTCAGCTCTCTGGGTGGACTTGGCCCAGGGATTCTCTCTCAGCCTCGCCTACCTCATAGGGTTGGTGTGAGGATCAAATTGGGGATAAGGAGAACTCTGGGTGCCACTTGGAGAAGAGCCAAGAGAAAAATGTGTACAAAACCTACCTCGAGTCCTTTTCTCATAGATATTCGTAGATACAAAGACCGGAGGCAGGTGTGTGTGATGGGCTGCGACTGGGGAGGCAGGGCCCGGGTTCACATCCCCACCCTGTCTGAACAGCCACCGAGAGACCAGGAGCCGGATCTTCTCTCTCAGCCTCTCCCTGTGAGGAGCAGAGAGCAGGGCACACAAGCTTGCGCCCCATGGAGGAAGGTGGGGGTGAAACAATGCAATAAATAAATACAAATAATCCTGTTTTGTGCACAATGTTTGTGCTGCAAACATATGATCTCTGGTTTCATGCCTCACAGTCATCAGTTCCAAAAATTGCATAGAATCAGGCTGTAAATTATGCAAAATCAAATAATTGCATTACTTCTAGCATGGTCCTGTGCATATTTACTTGGAAGACTGTCCCTTATACGTTCAGTTATTCCCAGGTAAGTGTGTAAAGGCCTGGAGCCTCACAGTTTCTTACTAATCTGACATTTTGTAGTACTTACTGGAAGATAAATGTTCAGTCACACAGACTCAGCCAGACCCAGAGACTGGATCTGTTTTCTACCTCTTATTCTGTGTCGTGAGTTTTCAGATCCCTGATCCAGGCCTGGAGCCAGAAAATTTTTACTAGGGTGGCCGGGGGGGGGGGGGGTGGGGGGGGGGGGTGGATGAGTACAGTGGTGGTGAGCTCATCATTATTAATTTACTTTATAATTTATTTATCAGTTTTCTACTTGAGACTCAAAGTGGATTACGTGACATAAAACAATGTAATTGAATAGCATGAGAGACCTAATAAGGAATGTCATAGGACCAGGATTCCAAAAGCTAGAAAAGTACAAAAAAGTAACAGACGTGCTGTGTCAAGCAATGCAGAACATGGGGTTCCAAAGAAAGGAAGCCATGCCGTAAGCCGTGCTGAGTCTGCCACAACCCCATTTTTACCCCTTCGTCCCTTAACCTCTTTCTCTCTGCTTGACTCCAACATGTCCCATCCGCCTGCCGACACCGCCCCCCCCCCCACGCAGCCCCTGCAGGCGTCTTCAGCCCTGATAACGGCTAGTTCTATTCTAGCCAACTGCATAGAGAATTCACCCCTGGCAGAGTTGTGACAGGAGGATTCACACTGTGTGCCTCAACTCCTTCCTTTTTCACATAGAGAATTTACACTGGAGAGCAGGGGTGGTGAGACAGGTTTTTGCGGGCTGATTGGGCCTCTTCTCCCCATGGGTGCAGCCCCGCTCTTCTCTCGCTTCTCCCTTTTGATTCTGTCATTTCTTCTTTAACAACTCCCTTTTCGTTTCCGATTTCAACTCACCCTGGAATGCAACAGGTGGGGCCTAGAGATCCCCCAGAAGGACAAGTGATCCCCAGACCCCAGAGGTCACCTCCCCCCCCCCCCCCCCCGTAAGGGCTGCTTCACAAGGCAGGATACAGAGGATGCGGCCACCGCCCAACTCCCCACCCCCTGTTTCCAACCACCTTTGAACACTCCCCCCAGGCAAAAATAAAGCAAAAAAAAATATGTTCCTACCTGACGTGCTGATAATGGGGGGAATCCGTGGCTGGCACATGCTAGTGAGCTAAGGCACGAAAACGACTGTGTCACGTGCCTCTGAGCACACGGAAGCAACTGCTTCATGCAGGTAGCAAAGTGCAAAGGAAAAGCTGGGGAGGGAGGTGGGAGAAGGGAGGGAGATGCCTTCCCTCATTGGCAGAAGAAACTCTTGTGACAGATTTCACACCAACTCCTAGTGCTGATTGGAGGTACATGACAAATGATTGATGGGGACCAGCCCCCTTTTGCATCACCATGGCTATGGGCCTACCCTGATCACAGTCTGAATTGCTTAACTGAGTATCTTCTACACAGAATTTCCCCAAATTTGTTTGCATTTTCAGGGCGGGGGTTTAACAGTTTCTAGTCCTCATTGTCTGCACTTTCACAAATGAATATACGCATGTTGTACTAAAGTCCTGCTCCTTCTAGCTGTATCTCTGTGTGGCTTCAACAGCAGTCACTTCTCTGTTCTGGTTACTTGCACAAAGAGAAGAAAAAAACAATTCTGCCTTTTCCTTCTCTCTTCTCAGACCAAATGGGGGCACACATGTTTGCCTTGTCAGTGAGTTGGCTAGTTACATTTGTCTCTTCCAGATAGAAATGTTGGACACTGTTGCCTTAAACTTGCACAGAATCGATAAAGATGTCCAAAGGTGCGACCGAAATTACTGGTACTTCACTGCTGAGAAACTGGAGAAACTTCGGAACATCATGTGCAGGTGCGTTTAAAGTGAAGGCCTCCTGGAATTGACCTCTTCATACGCAGGTTGGATCTGGGTCCCCACCAATGTTCCCTCTAAGCTGTAGAGTCCTGTGAGCAAAAATTCTCCTTTGTGAGCTACTGGCATCAAAGTTGTGAGCGAGCGATTTGGCTACTGCATAAATTAGTTTGCTCTGGAGCCCTGCTTCCTGAGCGAAGACAAAAATGTCTGAGCTGGAGGCTAAACAACTGTGAGCTAGCTCACACTAACTCGGCTTAGAGGGAACATTGGTCCCCACCCTGTGTCAGATGCAACACAATCCCACGTGAGTTCTAATTCCTAAGCAGGTCGTGCACGGAAGCACATGGAGAAATCAGCCTTTCCCTCTGTGCCATTTTCCGAGAGCCATTGAGCTTGTTGGGGGGAATCTGTGTGTATTCCTGGAAACGTGGCATTTCCCCAAGTACCACCCCACCCCCACCCCCAGATTATTTCATAGAGGGGGGAGATGTTGGGAGGGAAGGAAGGCTGACTCCCCTCCTCCACGTGTGCTGTGGTCCCAATTTTAACTGTGCCCTGCACCCTCTGGTGGAGTATCAATATAATGATTACAGGATGGATTTGGCTCACGCTTCATTCAAGAAGAACTGGCACTTGATTGAAAGGTTGCCCATGATGTCCTTGAAAGCCAAATGCTTCTTCAGTGGGGCCATGTTCGTCTCCAGAAAACACATTCACATTCAAAAGAATTTTGATTCAGAATCCACCCCACCCACCCCACTCTGAGGTTGTTTCTGCAAAGTTCCCTGCCATTTTTGTGAAATGCTTTGAAGGTTGTCCACCTGACTTCCATTAGCAGCAGCTCATTTAAGAGGAATTTCTAGTGGTCTCTCCCTCCTTCCCTCTGTTGCAGTTACGTTTGGGAACATTTAGATGTTGGCTATGTCCAAGGAATGTGTGACCTTCTGGCTCCCCTGATGGTTATACTCGACAAGGGTAAGGCGACCCAGATGTTTCTTTCCCCGATGTGTTCCAGGGCAGGCCCGGAGTTCCGCGGCAGCTTAACCGTTGGGCTGGCCAGCGAGGAAGCCACTTGGGGCCGATGGGCCGGGCTCTGCAGTTTGAACCGAGGTTTGGTCCAGACGTGGCTCCTTCCGTCTTTGTACGGGCTGCTTTAATCAGGGCAGATTCATCTACAGCTGAAGCTTTTGTTGCTGATTAACCAGGAGGGGCCAAATGAAGTCTGTGTGGCTGAGAGTTAAAGGTTTGAGTTTTTCAAGGCTGTTGTGCTTTCAATGTGTTGCTGTAAGAGGGAATGTAGAAGGAATGCAAAATTTAAGATCTTCTTTGTGGTCTCTGTGCATCACACCTTTGGGGGGAAAGGGCACCTGCACCTGACCCATCAGTAACTTTGAACAAGCCCTAAATCCTTATTTCCTGCGCTCTGCCCCCGAGGCACACGCAGGGCTCCACCGCCCACTCTTCTGAACGCCGTGCCAAGCAGTCACTTTTCATCACGGTTGGTGAACTTCTCAGTCGTGACACCAGCCTTCCTTCCTTCGTGTAAGAGCGGGTGTAAGAGCCATCGTCATGCCCTCCCTTCCCGTCCCCCCCCCTGCCATTCTGCCCCACCACGTGGCCTGTGGCAAAAGCTTGGGGCTTCTTCAGGCGTTGTGAAGAGTGCGGAAGTAAACTCACCCCCGCGGACAGACACTCTCTGTGCCTCCTTTGCTTGGGGGAAGGCCACCATACTGCCATGCTTCCTTTCGACCCTGACTTTTGCGCAGCCACACATGCTTGCTTTGCTTAGCTACCGTGGGTAACATAAGGGAGGTGCGCTTTTCCCGTGCAAACTGGTTCAGCCAGACAGCGTTATCAGTATCACCTTGAAGGGAAGGGAGGGCTTGGATTCCACTACGGGTGTGAATATTTCTGCTCTCAAGGGATTGGGGTGAGTCTCCCATTCATGATGTAATATCCCGCCGGGAGGATTCCCGTGCGCGCGATTGGATTTTTTTGCTTAGCTAGATGCAGCATCAGAGTATATGTATGGAGCCCCTTGCAATAAGCGTTATTCCTGACAATGTACCTGTACCACTTGGCAACAGATTAGTACTCTAATAAAACATAGCCAAACAGAGTATGTTTGGACCTGCTTGCTGTTGACCCTGACAGAATTGTCAGGAATCCATTTTTGTCCATCGGCCCGAGTCTCTCCTAACCGGGATGAGCGGTTCCGGTGGTACGGGGGTGCCTACTATGGTACCCACTACAGTGCCCACGACGGTGCCCATGACGGTACCCACAACGACGGCACCCATCCTCCTCCCGATGACTACGGGTACGGGGTGCCAGTGACAACGGCCCCGATGATGACTGCGAGCCCTGGAGGGCCGGTGACTACTGATGGAGGAACCACCCGTCAGCCGGCAGTGTCGTTTATCCCAGTGCATTTGGGGAAGGGAGTATCCTACCGCTGCAAGGACCGGGATTGGGGCCACCACTTGGGGGACTCCACGCAGGCTACTTGGTCGTTGCCGGGGAGTTGGAGTCGGGACAGTGTTTATGACCCACGGCTGAGCTCGGGGAGCTTCGAAGTGACCCCAAGCAGACCCATCATGTTCCCATCGAGGTCTTTGATAAGCCTGGGAAGGGACGTAGATGGGAGGCTGACTTTTGCGCAGCCGCACATGCTTGCTTTGCTTAGCTACTGTGGGTAACATAAGGGAGGTGCGCTTTTCCCATGTGAACTGGTTCAGCCAGACAACGTTATCAGTATCACCTTGAAGGGAAGGGAAGGCTTGGATTCCACCATGGGTGTGAATATTTCTGCTCTCAAGGGATTGGGGTGAGTCTCCCGTTCATAATGTAATATCCCGCCGGGAGGATTCCCGCGCATGCGCTTGGATTTCATTTGCTTAGCTAGATGCAGCATCAGAGTATATGTATGGAGCCCCTTGCAATAATCGTTATTCCTGACAACGTACCTGTATTGCATGGCAACAGGCCAATATTCCCATAAAACATAGCCTTTTCAGGAGAGTGTGTTTGGACCTGCCTGCTGTTGACCCTGACAGATTTGTGCACCCACTGCACCAAGTTCTCCTGACAGACTCACAAGACACTGGGTGGCACTGATTGAATTGATGGCCACTCACACTCCCCAAGATGGAATTGAGTCAACACCAGGACCCTTGATGGCCATCCCGGCACCGGGGCAAATCAGTACCAACCACTCAACATCGAAGTGCTTGGGCTCTGCATCGAGATCGAACGCCTCAGCATGCAAGGAGGGCAAAAGTGCCAAGCCACGGAAGGCCACGGCCTAAGAGTCTCCACCATGACCCCTCTACCCTGTGGCTCAATGCCCTGATGGGGTGATTGTCACCAGCACTGAACCTTGCTATGGAGGTGCTGCCTCCTGGCCTCCCCATCCATCGGTTGGGCTCCCTGGTGCACACTGACTCTGTGACACAGCTCCTCTCAGTGTCCCATTGACCCCAATCCCCTCAGGGCCGGTACTACCACCACTGACCCTGAAGCGTTCAGCATTGAAGGAATGCATCCCCCCATCTAAAAAGCACAAGGCAACACCTACAGTTTTGGCACCACCCCCGCCACCAAAGCCTGCTCAGGCACCTTCGGTACCACCTCCAAAGGGAGATAAGGACCTGGCACAAGGCTTCTCCAATTCAGCAGTATCTGATATTTCTTCAGAGAGGGGCTCTGGCAAAGAGGACTCCGACGTCCACTCATCATCCACAGGATCCCCTCCCATCCAAGTTCAGGACAACCTCCCCTTCTCCCCATCTGAAGACCTCCAGTCCTGTGGGGAACTGGTCAGATGCATGGCCCACACACTGGGCCTGTCCATTGTCCAGCCCATGCAGACGGTCACAGACTTTGTCTTCAACATAGTACAGCTGGATACCTCCACAGTTCTCTCCCTACCTGTGACGAATGTCATCCTGCAAGCAGCTAAATCACCTTGGCACAAGCCTTCCTCCACACCCGTTTCCTCAAGTTGCCTGGACCACGCATGCAGGGTCCAGGACACCAGGGCTGAATTTCTGTCTTGTCATCCTCAACCCAACTCTGTGGTGGTCACCTCCACCTCCAAGTGTACGTATTCAGCCCCTGTGGGGGGGAAAAGCAGGAAACTGGACGCTTTTGGCAGGAAATCTTATTCTGCCAGAGCTTTGGGGATCAAAAACACAAATTACATGGCCTGCATGAGCAGGTACCAATATTCTCTTTAGGAGCAGCTCTCAGAACTCCTGCCCACTCTCTTCCTGGTAGCAAACAGCTGCTAGCCCGATGCCTCCAAAGGTATGATCCTCACGAAGCAGCAACTAAACTCTTCCAAGCACACTGTGGACGTCTTCCACCATAGCTCTATGTAGACATTCCTGGCTTCATTCAGCATCACTCCAACAAGACACCTGTTCCTATATAGAAGACCTGCCCTTCGATGGTCAGTGTCTCTTTTACTCCACCACGGATACTACAAGAAATGGACAAAAGCATCAAATGTTCTTGCAACCTTGAGGTTACAGGCCCTACCCACTCATCCAAAACCAGGTCATGGTCCCAGCCCTGGTCCAAATGGTCCAGAACCTCTTGACAAAAGATGCCATTGAAGTGGTTCCTTGAATATCCAGAGGCCTTGGATTTTACTCCTGGTACTTTACAGTCCCCAAGAAGGGTCCCATCATGGACCTGAGTGTGCTAAACAGTTTTATTGCTCACCACAAATTCTGAATGATCCCCCCTGCAGAACATCCTTTCACTCTTCAAAGAAGGGGCTTAGATGACCACGCTAGACCTCCAGGACACCTACTTCCTTTTCAACATCTGACCTCATCACAGACAGTTCCTGAGGGTCGCAAGGTGTCCCGGTTCCGGGCGGGACAGGCTCGGGGGGGGGGGGGGGGAGCCACGGGAGAGAAACACCGCCCCGCCCCAACCACCCGGTTTCCCCCCTACCTCACGGAGGCAGCCGCCCACTCCCGACAGCCGGCACGACCTCCGGCCGCCGTCGGGGAAGCAGCAAAGGAGCCGGCAACGACGAGGGAGCACCAGCCACCTGGAGCCAGAGCCAGGGCCAACGGACAACGCGGGGCCGAGAGCAAGTGCACAGTCGGCGGCCCGGGAACGTCTGGACGAGCCAGGGCCCGCCCCCACACGCCGCAGACAACCCGGGAGGATGCCGTGAGAGAAGCCGCCGCACAAGGATCCTCTGCACTGCAAGGGGAGGGCGGGGTGGCGTCCCTGCCTTTAGGCGGGGGCAGGGCCCAGGTGCTGGGGAAGCCAGGAGGGCTGGAGGAAATAAAGACGGAGGCAGAGCAAGCCGATGAGGAGGCACTGGACTGGCTGAGAGCGTGGTCGCACGGTTGAGTGAGAGAGAGGGAGCTAGCGGACAGCGGGGCCAGACCCAGGGCAGGCTAAAGAGGGTGACATAACCCTCTGCCAAGCCTGTGTCTGAGGCAAGCTCTGTCTGCTGTAGACGTTCCCTCCAGGAGCCTAACTGCGGCCCCAGCACCTGCGCCAGGACGGCACGACCTCGATACTGCAGGAGGCGACACGGCTACGGGCAACAACCCTGGACGGGAGCTCGGAGAGCGCCACAACGTGGTGGAGTATGCGGGCAGAGTAGACCCGCTACTGCGCCCCCGCCCGCTCTTGCCACGCCCTCCCGGGTGGCAACCACCGTCGTCCAGACCGCCGAACGTGGCAGCCACCGAAACGGACGACGCCCCTTCGTCAGACGAGTCTGACACGTCTTCGGCTAGTCAGGACTCAGTGAAGGTACGACCACCGCAAACACAGCCCCGAGAAGTACCCATGGATCTCGCACAATTGGGGCAATGGATGGCCGAACATCAGGCCCAGCTGCTCCGCGACATTACTCAGCAGCAACAGCAAGCTCAAACCACCATGATGCGGGATTTGCACCAAGTGGTGCAGGCCATCGGCCAGGCCGCAGCAGGGGGCACCGGAGGTCCGGCACAGGCAAAGACCCCCTGGCCCGCGTTGACCCGTCTGGGCCCCGAAGACGACGTGGAGGCCTACTTGGAGGCCTTTGAGTGGGCCGCAACAGCAGCCAGGTGGCCAGCTGACCAATGGGCCTCCCTCCTTCACAAGGCCAGACCGATAACGCCGTCTGGCAGTACTGGCTCTCGCGGTCTCCCTAGCAATATTTACTGCAAGCGGCAGAGCAGTGAGCAAGCCAGGATCAGAGAAGGGAACAAGCAAAACATGGCAGCTAGCTGACAGTCCCAGTCCTCCAACCTGTGTAGAAGGTACTTACTATAAAGTTTTGCAGCTATATTCAACAGGCTTATGGGGCAGTAATTTTTTGGATTGGCCTTATCACCTTTCTTATCGATTGGGAATACAATACTCAGTTTCCAACCAGAGGGAAACACACCAGTTTCATTGATCTGGGTGAAAACTTTTGGCCACCAGTGCTCCGTCCCTGGCTTCACAACTGAAGCCAGCAGCAGCAACAACTGGCTTGCAAAAAGTTGCAAGCTGCAATGCATTTTGAAATGCATTGCAGTGATTGGCTGTCTGCAAGAATGGCGCCCTTTAAAGTTTAAAGTGCCCCAGTGCCGTTTTTCAGGATTCCCTAAAAAGTTTGGGGTTTTTTGGCACTTATTTTTCGGCTTTCTGAAACAGCTCAGGAGGCTGTTTCAGAATGCCGAAAACCCGAAAAAGTTTTTTTTCCGGGTTGGTAAACCCGAATGCACATGCCTACTCTCAACCTTTCTCTGACAGAGTGACTATCATACTTAACAGTAGACAACTGTCCACCAGATGGTCATATGCCTACAAATGGGCAATATTTGCCAAGTTCGCCGGAGTGTCCCCTCTTTCGTCAGAGAATGCTGTTAGTTTTTGACTTATTACTTTCTCGAGTAGATTCTGGACTAAGTTACTCCTCTATACGGGTCTACTTAGCTGCCATTTTGGCTTACCATCAACCAGTGGATAATCTTTCTGTTTTTACTCACCCACACTCAAAACGGTTCCTTCGGGGTCCACTGCGCATGCATCCCCCACTTAAGCTCCCTGTTCTAGCCTGGGACCTCCTCCTGTCTGATGGGCAAACTGATGGAAACTGATGGGCAAACCATTTGAGCTTCTAGCCTCTTGTGAACTCCGGCTGGGCTGCTTGCCTGAAAAACTGCCTTCCTTATGGTCATCACGTCGGCCCAGAGAGGGGGTGAGCTTACAGCACTCCAACATGATTCACCTTACCTGCGATTCTACAGTAACAGTGTTACTCTGTGCCCAGACATCTGGTTTCTTCCGAAGGTGGTTTCAGAGTTCCATCTCCAGGCGGACATCCTATTCCTGGATTTCTTCTCCAATCCTAAGGATGCCGTGGACCGTCTCCTCCACTCCCAGGATGTAAAACACGCTCTTCTGTTCTGCTTGCACAGGACCAAACCAGACCGCAGGGGCTCTCACCTTTTTGTCTCCTGTGCCCTGCAGAATAGAGGACTTCGCATTTCGGCCCAACGCCTGTCAAAATGGATAGTGGAAGCTATAAAACTTTGTTACCTGCTGGCAAAACAACCCATGCTGGGGCCCGTTAGGGCACATTTTGCGAGAGCCCTAGCCACCTCGACAGTGTTTCTTAAAGGGGTCCCCTTACAGGATATATACAGAGCTGCTACATGGGTGACTCCAAACACCTTCATTTGGCACTACGCTCTGGGTGCCTGTCGAGGGGCTCAAGTGGGTCAGTCAGTTCTTTGATCAGTATTGCATTGAGTAGCTGCCAGCACCCTGCTCCAGTAAGTCATGAGCTTGCTACTTTCCTGCAGGTGTGATGCACGGAGACCATGAAGAAGATAAACAGGTTGCTTACCTGTAACTGGTGATCTTCAAGTGGTCATCTGTGCATTCACACTACCTGCCCAACTTTCCCCTCCGCTGTCAGCCTACTCGTACCTTTCTAGGGGGTTTTCAGTGGTTAGAAGGAACTGGGAGGAGCCCCGGGCTCTGCGCGGTGGAGCCCCGTGTGTGCCTTGAGGGTGGAGGGTGGGAAGGAAGGATTTAGGGCTCGTTAAAAGTTACCAATGGGTAACGCTGGTGCCCTTCCCCCCCCCCACAGGTGTGATTGCACACATGACCACTCAAAGATCACCAGTTACAGGTTAATCAACCTGTTTATCACCGACATTCTTCACTGTGCATGGGAGCTTTTCTATATGAAATTGTAAGTCATCTAGAAAAGACCTCTATTTTGAAGTCTTATTCCAATGCCTATTCGTTTTAATAGCCAAATTGTCTAAAAAAACAGATTTAAAAACTGACATTTTCATTACTTCTTGATGGCCCCTTGGTTGTATGTTCACGTCTGTCTGTCTTGGGTTGCTTCCAGATGAATTGGCCTACAGCTGCTTCTCTCACCTGATGAAAAGAATGAGCCAAAATTTCCCCAACGGGGGTGCCATGGACACCCATTTTGCAAACATGCGGTCACTGATCCAGGTGAGTCCTGCAAGTGGGTGGCAGGTTGTAGAATGAAAATACTGGGCAGATGAGCTCTGTGCCCCCCTCCTCTGTCCGCTAACAAATCGTCCAACAGCCCCCCCCCGTTCCTTTTCTTATTTATTTCATTTATACCCAAGAGGTTTTCTCCCCAGAGCAGCTTGCTTCATTCCCCCCCCCCCCCCCCCCATTGCATCCTCACCACCCCCCTTCGGTTGGGTCGGGGGGGGGACCCTGTGAGGGTGGGAGGAGGTGGCTGGCCGGCAGCCACCCAGCAGGCTTCCATGGCAGGTTGGCAATCCGTACCTGGCTCTCCAGGGTCTGACGCTCTCCTCTGTCCTGCAGCCCGTCCCACTTCTGCTGTCTCTCTCTCTCCATCTATCTCTGCCTTCAGGGAGCAGAGGTGATTTTCCATTTTATCCTCTCACCCACCCTGTGAGACCCCATCGCCCAGTTTGCTTCACAGCAGGGTAGGGATTTTGAGCAGTGTTCCCTCTAAGTTGAGTTAGTGAGAGCTAGCTCACAGTTTTTTAGCCACCAGCTCACACATTTTTGTCTTAGCTCAGGAAGGATGGCTCCTGAGCAAATCGATTTATGCAGCAGCCAAATTGCTCACTCCCAACTTTAATGCCAGCAGCTCACAAAGTAGAATTTTTGCTCACAAGACTCCACCGCTTAGAGGGAACATTGATTCCGAGTCCCTTCCCATCATGGTCTGGGCCCCCCCTGTCATACCAGTCTTGGAGGGGCCCAGCCTGTGATGTGACCTGTGGCTTCATGCTCTTTGGAGCACTGGTCTTCCTCAGGCCTGGAGCAGCGGCCACCAGTCAGAGGAGAGACCATGCTGAGCTGGATGGGTCTGTGCCTTGACTTGTTGCAATGCAGTCTCTGGTTTCCAGAGTCTGCTCACAATTCATACTCACACCTTTGGCCTCTCCCGCCCCTTTCCACGGTTGCCAGGTCGCTCCGCTTCCGGGTTGCAGCTTCCTGTTCTGCTGGGAGTGACTCACACACACTCCAGGGGAAAGCGCTGCCTTTTACTGAGTCAGAGCATCAGCCCGTGAAGGTCAGGCCTGAATTTCTCACCAGCTCCCTGACCTTGGAGATTGGGGGGGGGGGGGAATGGATATTTTTGTCATGCAGTGCAGAGGCTCTGCCCGTTCCCCTCCCTGGTCTCCAGGAGTCTCAGGGCGAAGATCCAGAAGAGATGGGGGCAAGCTGTTTCCTTGCATTTCAACCACTCCCTCCACTTTCTTCCAGCCTTTCTCTTCTCCTATGAAATAGAATGACTTCAATTTTTTAAATAAATGTATTTTAAGACAAATAGGAAAAAAGAGGAATAATCATGCAGCAGAAAAACCATAAGAAGATATTTCCCCAAGGGATATTAGCCTGTTCTTGCAAATGCCAGCAGCGTCTGATAGTGTCAGATGTCATAAGGTTCTTGGTGACAAGTCAAAACTGGGGTGTTCCTAAAGAAAACAGTCAAGTCTTGCTAGGATCTCCCCCCCCACACACACACACACACCCTGGGTCCAAGAGGCTGAGCCTGAACCAGCGGCCCAGGGCTGAATTCTCAGCAAGGCAAAGGTGAGGGGACCTGACTAGGTGTCTCTTGCCGGCCTGAACTGCCACCCATCATCCGTGTTTCCTTTGCTAGTCTGACCTTCTCGGGTTCTTTTTCCTCCAAAAGATTCTGGACTCTGAGCTTTTTGAACTAATGCATCAGAATGGCGACTACACTCACTTCTATTTCTGCTATCGCTGGTTCCTGCTGGATTTTAAACGAGGTGAGCTCTTGTTGCGTTGTCCTTCTTTTTAACCATTGATATCCCACTTCCTTGTTCACGACATGGGACTGCATTTGAAAGCTAAGAATGCCCCCTCCCCATGTGGGCCACTATCCTAGCTTGGCAACTTGAGAAAGACCAGTTCCCTGGCTTTCCCTGAATGTTTTATAATGCTGGGCTCTCCCTGAGCAGGTAGTTCTACAGGGAAGGGGGAGTCATCACAGACTGTGCCGCGCTCTAGCGGAGCTGTGGGGTCAACCACAGAGACTGCAGGCAGGTAGGCAGGCAGGCAGGCAGAGCTCTCCCCACAGACTTTTAGGGCCAGCTGAGCTTGTCAGAGAAAGATGCTTGCTAAGATGTGCAGGGCTTGTGCCGATGGGGCCATGAGAGTTTTTTCTAAATGCCAAAAGGGTTTTAAATCCCCCACCCCACAAAAATGAAGTTGGTGGTTTTAGTGGGCCTCCAAAAGCTTGAAGTCACAGCTGCTGTGGCGAGTTACAGTGCACTTAATGCACCTAAAAACATGGTTTATACTTTTCTTAACTTGTACTGGGCAGGGGGGAGGAAGTCCTTGGTGAAAGAAAAAGCAAATAATTGTTGACGCTGATCTGTTTAAGTAATTGGATGCTTTTTTCTGTAATGTTTGTTCCCCTCATTCAGAATTGTTGTACGAGGATGTATTTGCAGTGTGGGAAGTTATTTGGGCAGCAAAGCACATCTCTTCAGAACATTTTGTCCTTTTCATTGCCTTAGCACTGGTGGAGCTCTATCGAGAGATTATCCGTGATAACAACATGGACTTCACCGATATCATCAAGTTCTTTAATGGTAAGGATATGAAGCGTGGCCAAGTTCCTGGGATTGATTTCAGATTTCAAGGGCCTGGACACATCCACCATCACAGCCTGTCAGGACCCACAGTCACACTTAGCACACACTTCCAAGAAGGTTTTACTTTATTGTGAGAACTGTGGTAGCATAAACATATTCACTGTTAAGAATAACTAATATTAAGCCTACAGGGTTAGTATACTCAAAAGAGGGCCCCCCCCCAATCGATGGGCCAATTAGGCACTCTCCCGCTGGTGGGAAAACCCGTTAGTGGGTTGGCGAAGAAGCGAAAGTGGTCCCACGGTTGAAATATGGGAAGACACTACACAAGGGAGGGAGCTACAAGGTCAGAGATAAGGAGCAGAGGCGCCAAGGGGAATGGAATGCGGGCCTGGCTGGTACACAGGTCAAGCAAGTGAACTGGAACCCATAAACCTAATGGCAGCGTAGCTGACATCCTGCCCCCCCCAAACCCATCTCCCGCCAAGTCCAGGAGAACCTCCCGGGCATTCCGGGAGATCTCCTGGTTAGTCCGGGAGACCTCCCGGTTTGTCCAGGAAGGCTCGGTGAAACTCTTGAAGGAGTCAAGGGGCCCGAATATCCCCTACTTCCACCCATTCACGGTGCTGGGGTCCAAAGTCCAACCATTCAACTAAATAGAAGAGTTTGCCACATTTCAACTTAGAGTCCAAGATTGCAGAGATTTCAAAATGTTCCTCGCCCTCCACCAAAATGGGAGGTGGTACAGGTTTTGAGGGACGCCATGGACTCGATCCCAGTGCACATTTCAGAAGGCTGAAATGAAAGACAGAATGGATGTTTCTCAGGTTCTTAGGGAGCTCAAGTTCCACGGCCACCTCATTGATCACACGTTTCACTGGAAACGGTCCAATAAACTTCCAGCCAAATTTGCGGCTGGGGCGCAACACTTTGATGTTCTTTGTAGACACATACACCAAGTCACCAGGCTGCAGAGCCCAACCCTCCACACTTTTCCTGTCAGCTTGGATCTTGTATGCATCTTTGGCTGCATTAAGTGTTTTGATCAACACCGGCCACGAATTCTGAAGGTTTTGGCACCACTGGGCAGCATCCCCCGGTCCTAAATCTGCCCCCTCAAGGAAAGGGAGAGGGGGACTATCATAACCATAGAGCGCCTTAAACGGGGACATCCCAGTGGAAGAATGGCACGTGTTATTGTAACAAAATTCTGCCAGGGGCAGCAATTCGACCCAATCATCTTGTTGGTAATTGGTGAAACAGCGCAAATATTGTTCCAATGTTTGATTTATCCATCAGTCTCTGGGTGTTTACTGCTACTCATGGCCCGTTCCACCCCCATGAGTGCCAACAACTCCCCCCAAAAACAAGATATAAATTGCGTCCCTCTGTCGGAGATTATCTTGCTCGGGAGCGTGTGGAGGCACACAATGTGTTGCAGGAACGCCCTTGCAAGGGCCTTAGCCGTGGGCAAAGAAGCAAATGGGACAAAGTGCACCTGTTTACTAAACAGGTCCACAATAACCCAAACGACAGTCATAGTCTTACTCGGGGGTAGATCCGTGATGAAATCCATGGAGATTACCTCCCATGGGTGTGCAGGAGTCAGGAGAGGTTTCAGTAATCCTGGTGACTTACCCGGTCGGGGTTTGCACATGACACAGATCTGAAGGATTTCACAAATGATGATAAGTCTTTGTGCATGAAGGGCCACCAAAATTGTCTTTGTAATAGGTGCACGGACTTCACAAACCCGGAATGCCCGGCCAGTTTAGACCCGTGCGCCGTTGCCAGTACCTCCCTCCTCAGAGCTTTTAGGACTAAAGGTTTAGAGTTGCGATACCAGCAACCAATGTTCCGTCTAAGCTGGAGAGTCTTGTGAGCAAAAATTCTACTTTGTGAGCCATGGGCAATAAAGTTGTGAGTGAGCAATTTGGCTACTGCATAAATTACTTTGCCCTGGAGCCATTGTTCCTGAGCTAAGACAAAAATCTGTGAGCCGGAGGCTAAAAAATTTGGAAGTAGCTCACTCTAACTCAGCTTAGAGGGAACACTGCCAGCAACCATCAGTTTTCTCCTCCCATCCCCCGGCAGTTTCCACCTCAAGTCGATCCTCTTCAGAGAAAGCTGCTGCAAAACAGGCCGTCCATGCCGGCTCCCCCGGGGAGGGGAGAGGGGAGGAGCAGGGGGTGGAAACGTGATCCCGGGGGGAGACCACCGCACGGCTGTACCGCCCCCCCGAGCTGCGAAGGCGTGATCACGGAGTCCAGGATAACCTCCCGTTGGCAGTCATGTTGGGGGAGGCAGGAGAGTGCATCGGCCAGCGACTTAGCTGTGCCCGGAAAGTGGTGAAGTGTAAAATGAAACTTAGAGGGGAAAATCGGCCCACCACAGCTGTTTGGCATTTAGGTTGCGAGGGGTTTTGAGTACTTCGAGGTTTTTATGATCCGTCCAGACCTCAAACGGCACATGGGCCCCCTCCAGCCAGTGTCTCCACGTCGACAACGCTAATTAGATCACCCCTGCCTCCTTGTCCCACACTGACCAATTTCTCTCAGTCTCGTTAAACTTACCAAGACACATATGCAAGGGGGTGTAACAGTCCATCATCCCCCTCCTGCAAAATCGCGCCTCCAATCGCCACATCGGAGGTATCGACTCGTACGATGAATTTTTTATTTTCATTGAGGTGGGCCAATATGGGCTCTGACATGAACAAGGCTTTCAAATGGGTGAACGCCTCTTGGCATTCACTCGACCATTGCAGTTTCGCTCCCGGTTTGGTTGCCTCCGGATCTTTTCCCTTGGTTTTTAATAAGTCTGTGAGGGGCAAGCTGATCTGTGCAAAATTTGCCAAAACATTTCTGTAAAACTTGGAAAATCCAAGGAAGGATTGGAGTTGATGGCGTGTGCGTGGTGCCTCCCACCCCAGCACGTCCCTCTTTTTCCCTGGGTCCATCTCTAACCCCTTTTCAGATATACGATAGCCAAGAAAGTCAATGGCCATTTTCTGAAATTCACACTTAGAGAGTTTATCCAACAGCTTGTGCTTGTGCAACGTCTAGAGCACCTCCCGCACCAATTTTCTGTGCGAGGAGAGGTCGGGGGAATACAGTAAAATGTCGTCTAAGTAAACGAGGGCCCCCTTAAACAGATGTTTGTGCAGCACCTCGTTAATTAAGTTCATAAATACCCCCGGAGCACCCTGGAGACCAAATGGCATCACTCAGTATTCGAACTGGCTCAAGGGCGTATTGAACGCCATTTTGTGTTCATCCCCCTCCCTTATGCACACACAAAAGTACACATCCCGGAGGTCCAGTTTGGAGAAGATTTTCCCTTTGGAAGCTTCTGCAAGCAAGTCTTTAATGAGTAGGCGTTGGTGGATGAAACTGCATTTAGTCCTCTATAATCCGTGCATAGCCTCAACCCCCCGCCCTTCTTTTTCCTATACAAAACTGGGGCCGCAAACAGGGAGGATGCTGGTCTAATAAACCCACGTGCTAGGTTCTTGTCAATGAATTTGCAGAGCTCGTCTTTCTCCGCCTGCCCCATTGCATAAATGCGCCCCTTCGGCAGTTTGTGCCCTGGCAACAGTTTGATACTACAATTGGAATGTCTATGGGGGGGCAGTTTGTCCACTTCTTCCTCTTCAAACACCCGTGCTAGATCGCGGTACTCCGGAGGGATAGACCTTAATTCTTCCCGGGCCAGGCACACACGAGGGGCTTTGACCACAGGTTGGGGTCCCCACTGTTGTTCCCAACGGTGCGAGTTACAGCAGGGGTAAATGAACTACACCTTCCCCTCGTCACATAAAATGTAGGGGTCGTGCGCATGTAGCCATGGGATCCCCAATACTAGGGGGAATCTGGCTGTGGGGGTAATGAAAAACTAACATTCCTCCCAGTGCTACCCCGCCCCCAACCGCAGTGGTACAGTCTCGAGCTCGCACGGTTCTTTCATTGAGGACCCATCCATCTGGGTAAAGATCAGTGGCTCAGGCAACCTTGGCGTCCAACCCCGAGACCAGGGACGGGTTAATGAGGTCTCTCCCACACCCTGAGTCAGTGAGCCCCCTTACTTTGATGTGGGTCCCCAAGGCTGGGTTTAGGAGAGTCACAGTCACAAAAAAGAGGGGGGGATAGCTGCTCACCGCTTTTGGTGCAGCCGGGATCGGGCCCTGCTGCTCTGCACCTCTCACAGCAGGACCTGGCCTTTCCCCACCAGTTCGGCAGGCTTGTCCTCGCTGGTGTTCTCCTCGATCACTTCCACCGCCACTTGGAGTGCTTTAGTGAACTTAGGCTTTCCCAAAGGTTTTCTCGCCAGGGTGCTCATCCGTGCCTTAGTCATTTCCGTCGGCGCCAGTTTACCTTGGCCCATGAGGCTGCAGTCGGCTGCAAAGTGGCCCCGTTCTCCACACCGCAGACATAGCCCCTGCTTCAGGCGTTGGTTCCTGAGCGTCTCAACGGGTCTCACCTGCTTCCCCTTTATAACAGGATTGGGGCTCGGCTTCCCGACCGCTGTGGCCATATCCAGATGCAGTGTGTGTAAGCGCCCCTTGGCGCTTTCGGCTTCTTGCATCCACGCTGTTAGCGAGATCGGGTCCACTGCTCGAAGGACAGTCTCACGTATTTCTGGGTTTAGCCCCACCCGATACAGTTCAGCTAGGACCTGGTCCGGCCAATTCTGGACTTTGGCCGTGTGAAGCTTGAATTCCGACAAGTACTCCCTCACGGACTGCTGCCCCTGTTTCAGGGTTTGGAGGAATGTTTTGGCTTTTGGGCCAGTGTTCCGGTCCTCGAATTGGGCATGCAACACCCACATAAAAGCGTCCACATTCACTAACTCTTGCGTTATGCAAGCTCACGTACCAAGCGGCCACAGCGCCTCGGAGCTGCGCAGTGATAGCATCCACTCGGCTAGCCTCGTCTGGGAATAGGTGGCCCCACCGTTCCACGGATTTCATCACTTGGACCACAAAATAGGAGAGGTCTTCCGGGTTCCCATCGAACGTCGCCTCGATCAGATCTTTTGGACAATGAAGCATAGGACCTCTTGGGCTCGTTGGCCTGGGTACGGGAACCTCGGCTGGAGCAGGTACCGGGACAATCGGTTGGTCCCCAGGCCCCGGCCCTGGTACGCTTGGTTGGCCAGCAGCTGGGGGGGGGAGAGGAGGGGCCAGGATTGGTTGCTGCTCCCCACGTTCCGCTCGCAGCGCCTGCACCACCATCCCTGGGATAGCCAGGACCCCCTCCTCGAGTTCCCGCCGCAGTTGTTGCCGTTCGTGCTCTACGGCCTCTAACCGCTGCAGGAGAGATCCATCCTCCTCTGGGGAGGTGCGCTGTCTCTCCGAGGTCCCTGGCCAAGTTTCTTCCATCAAATCAGGGTGGAATTGGCCCCACTGTAAGGACCAGGGCAGCTACGGTTGCCCTCTCGGTTGTCTCGGCCCCAAAGGAGTCATAAACAGATGGGTGGACAACCGACTTCGGTACAGTCCTGAGACCGTGAGTCGTTGGCGGGGTAGTTGCTGGCGGGGTGGTTGTCACCGGCACCTCCGTCTGAGTAGTCAGGACTTCACTCCCAAGTCATTGTAGGAACAATTTTCTCCTCAGCGTCACTCATCTCGGTGAGAGATGCGACTCAGTAGGGGAAAGGTGGATTCTTAACAGAATGTCAGGACCCACAGTCAATCACTTAGCACACACTTCCAAGAGGGTTTTACTTTATTGTGAGATCTATGGTAGCATAAACATATTCACTGTTAAGAATAACTAATATTAAGCCTACAGGGTTAGATATAGTATACTCAAAAGCCCCCCCCGATGGGCCAATTAGGCACTCTCCCGCTGGCGGGAAAACCCGTTGGTGGTAGGTAACATTGGAGCCGGGGGGGGGGA